GATGGGCTGAATATTCACTTCTACTTTCAATTGACTGGCCCATTTGCTTTAAAATTTTTTTAAAGAGTTATTATTATGTAATTTCTAGAAAAAATGTCTACCACATGATTTACCGAGTTGCTTCCTTTTATCAAATATACACGTAAAACAATATGAGGACAGACTGTGCGGAAAGCAAACCGCACAGATCTTTTTTTTTTTTTAAGGTCAGTTTTTATTCTTTTCTCTCTTGAAACAAATTATAATCATAGTACAAATTACAATCATCATATGTAACTCTCACTGCAAATGTGATGACATTATAAATCAGTATAAATTTTTGTCTTACAAACGGCTTCAAAAGAAACTTACATAGTTAGTTCCTATACATCATATTTGAAACAAAAATTCATATTTTCAAAGAAAACATATGCAGTTGTATAATCCAATTTTTTTTTGTTTTAACAATGTAGCAACTTATACTTCTTTTTATACTGTTGTCCTGAGAGAAAAGTTTTCTCTTTTTGTTAACCCTACCCTACCCGACCTTTCCTTATCCCCATCCCCCCCCCCCCCTCTTAACCGGTGGACGACTGGCTCTGGGTTCCAATTGTTTGTCTAATACTCAGGTTTTCCCATTTAGAAAAATGAATAGTGAGAGTTCCCCTCATTGCTGCCAATTTCCTTTCTTCTACTTTATCCCCTATTATACTATTCTTTATTTCATTAAAAGAGGGTGATTTTTTAAGTTCTCTATTTCTATAAATCAGATATTTAACAAGAATTAAAACATGATTCATTAATTGATATTTCCTTTATTTCTCTCCTCTTTCCCATACAGAATTTCCTCCAAACTAAAGTTATGTATTTCAAAGTCTAAAAATCTCGTGCACATTTCCCACACTGATTGTGCAAATTCACAAGTATAGAATAAATGTTTATATGTTTCTTCATCTTTTTCGCAAAATGAGCATAAGTTAGTCGAGACAAGACCAAAACGGAAGAGGTGATGGTTTGTATATATTATGTATAAGTTTGAACTGAAACTCTCTTAATCGACTGTTAAGTGTACACTGTCTTAGTCTTAAAAATATGTTTTCTATTTCCTTACAGGAAAAACCATAGTTCCTTCCAATTGTCTCAAAAACCAACGGTTTAAAATCATCTTTCTTTATTAATTGTACATAAATTTGTTTTGATTTTAAATCAGCTATATTAGTTGTTTTCTTCCCCAAAGTGAAATCAGTTCCAGAATTATTTTTTTCTTCTCCCTTTCTAAAATTATTTTTCCAACCAACTGGTAAACAGGCATAAAAGTGCTTGATCTTTTCAATTTCATTTACTTCAACACCTAAATCGATAAAATGCCTGTCACTTTTTAGTTTACCATCGTTTTCCAGAATATGTTTTAATTTGTAAATTCCTTTGTCATACAACCTCTTATCGTATATACAACTTCCTTTATATCGAATAAGTTTATTATTAAAAATTACCACATCACCAATGTCTATACTCCTTATATGTCTCGTATTCACCCAATCTTCTAATAAATCCATATAAAATTGTGGAGCTGTCACTTTTAATAAACTTGGTATATAGTCACATGAAAATATCAAATCTCCACCCACGTGTTCAGTGACAAAGTTAAAATATTGTTTCCATTTCATGTCTTCATCTTTGTTTAGAAGTTTTTGAATCCACATAATTCACTGCGATTTAACTTGTGCAGAAAAATTTAACATCTTTAACCCCCCTTGGTTATAGTCTAAGAACATGGTGTTTCTATTGATTTTATCTGTTTTTCCTTTCCATATGAAATCAAAAGTTAATTCATCCAGTGAATCATAAACCCATTTTGGAACAGGAGTAAGTGACGCCCGATAAAGAACTTTAGAATAAATGTGCACTTTCAATAGTTGAATCTTACCCATAAGTGTTAAATCCCTTTGCTTCCAAAAATTTAAAAGTGTTTTTATTTTACTTAAGATTTCTTTATAATTTAGATCTTCTTTCTTGTGTTCATCGAGGGAAAAGAAAATCCCTAAAACCTTAAGAAAGTCAACTATTTCGCCAAAAGCAAAATCACAATCTAAACGTTGACATGAACCTAACCTTAATATTTTAGTCTTGTCGTTGTTTATTTTCAGTCCAGAAATTTTTTCGAAATCTGCAAATAATACTTTTAACCTATTAATTGATTTTTTATTGCGAACAAAAATTGTCATATCATCCGCATAAAGTACTAGTTTAGTTTCCTTATCTCCAAAATTAATTCCGTCCACCAATTTATCTATTCGTAATTTGTGTGCCATTACTTCAATACACAAGATAAAGAGGTACGGAGAAAGAGGGTCTCCCTGTCTTACTCCCCTTTCTACTTTGAAATAACCAGTGGACCCTCCTTCATTTAATACACAACTTAGAGTGTTCATGTATAAAACTTTAACCCACTTTTGAAAAGACGGACCAAAACCAAATGACGACAGAACTTTTTGAAGAAATTGATGTGAAATTGAGTCAAAAGCTTTTTCGAAGTCTACAGCTAACAAAAAACCAGATAAATTGTAACGGGATGTATGAAAAATAATATCATCTATAATGCGAATGGCCTCACCAATATTCCTCCCTTTCATGTAGCCCACCTGATCTCCCATAATGATCTCATTTAATACTTTCTTGATTCGCTTAGCCAAAATTTTTGTTAAGATTTTATAATCGACATTAAGAAGGGAAATGGGTCTATAATTTTTCAGTGAAAAGGGATCTTTCCCATCTTTAGCGATTAACGTAATTACAGCTTGTTTTTGAGACGATGCTAATTCTCCTAATCTATATGCTTCATTCAAGGCATCTTTAACTAAATCTCCAATATTCGGCCAAAAGGTACGATAAAATTCTGAAGAAAAACCGTCATTTCCAGGTGATTTGTTCTGTTTTAATTCTTTTAAGATTTCTAGGCATTCTTTATTACTTATAGATCCTTCACAGTATTCTCGAGATTTTTCAGTCAATTTCGGTAAACCTTGAAAGAAACTATTATAACAATTATCCGAGCACTCGTACTCTACTTTACTGTACAACATGCTGTAAAACTTCCGGATTTCTTCAGTTATCCTTTTTTCATCGCAGCAAATAGCACCATCTGAGGTTTTAATTTTGTAATAGTACTCTTTCTTTTGTTATTTTGCATTAATTGATTGAAATAACGCGAATCCCTTTCTCCGCTTTCGTACCACGAGGCTCGTGATCGAATCCTAATTCCTTCATTTACATAGCTATAAACTTCCTTTAATTTCTTTTTTGTATTTTCCAATTTTTCTAAAGTATCTGCATTAGTGCTTTCCGTCAATTGTTGTTCTAAACATTGTATTTCTTTTTCTAAATCTGTTCTTATTGTTCTTCTTTGATCAGCCAATTTTTTTGAAAATTTTTGTGTAAAGCTCCGAATTTTCATTTTTAAAAAATCCCATAACAACCTTTTGTCTTTTATTTTAGTTTGCAGTTCGTTTTTTAATTGACAAATTTTCTTTTTTAACTCTCTAACATAATCTTCATTTTCACATAAACTATTATTGAATTTCCAATATGACCCTTTTCTTCCATTCGTTTTATTGACTGTTTTGTCAAATAAACGTAAAAATATTGAATGATGATCAGGGGCAACAGATGGAATTATATCGCACTTCATAACCATTTCCTCTAGACATTCTGATATTATCCAGTAATCTAGTCTACTTTGCATAAAGGGATTGTTTTGCATATAAGTGAATTGCCTTTTTAAAGAATGCCTACATCTCCAAATATCCAAAAGCTGCAAATCTTCCATGAATTTTTCAAATTCTCGATTAAATCTTTTCGAAATCCTGTTTAAAGATTTCCCGTTATAATCAAATTCAATGTCCCTAATCATGTTAAAATCACCACCTATAGTAACCGGGTAGTTATCTTTATTTAACTTAGCCAGATTATTACGTAATTTTCGAAGAAATTGCAATTGATCACTCTCAAAATTTCTTGTTGGAAAATACACATTGCCTAAAATCAACCTAACACCTTGAAACTTACAGTCTATAAAAATATATCTACCCTCACTGTCTTTTAAGACTTGCAATATCTCAATATCTATCCTCGGCGCAATCAAAACGAGAACTCCTTTACTGTGATTAGAACCATGACTAAAATAAGTAGAACCCTCCCACATTGAAGCCCACTTGTCCTCACAATCGCTAGTACTAAATGTTCTTGTAGGAAAACAATGTCCGCCCTTTATCTTTGCACCAGAAAAATATGCGTTCCCTTTTATCTCTGTCCCTGATCCCTTTCACGTTGAGGGAGAACAATTTACAATTAATCAGAACATCCATAACCTATCACACACAAGAAAATTTAACCCAGTCCCAGAGCCAATCCCCCACCTTAAAGGACCCACGAAAAGCAAGAACGAAACCCCGTCATCTGGGAAAGAAACTGATACATGTAAGGCATGCAATATTGCAGCTCCCCCGCCCCACCCCTCCCACTCTAAAAATTTCTATTTAAAGGTAACATTCCCGAAAATAAGGCTATAAAGGATTATGTACCCTCTCCACATTGAAGGTGCTATAATAGCCTGACTTACAGAATACACAAAATAAATGCTTCCTTGCAACATTTACATTCCAATGCTCTCCGAAACTACTTCTTTTCTTTTCTTATTAAAGAGTGATACATTTCACCTAACCAACAGTCTCACAATAATAACTACAGACCCTTGGAATTTGCATGCATATAAAAAAGTTTTTTTTTTTTTTTTCTTTTTTTTTTTTCCCTATACTTTTTTTGGTGGACAGTTGCTAAAATCGATTTTGATTTATCATTATTGATTTACCAATTTACCGATTTACCGATCTTCCCTCGGACGATCGGTGCGAGCAGAAAAACCCGCATGTTATGTCCGACGGACAAACGAAACTGGTAGGACAAACGGCGCGGTCACAGTGGCACTAATGGGCTTCCGTACATACCATACTGTACGCACATTCAAAAGGGGTAACTATGCGGGGGGTACGGTACGGTAACGCGTAGCACCAAAGTATCTCTTTGGTATCGGGGTAGTGTACGAGATGCGATGGGTCACGCACGCCTATATGCATGTGTCGAAAACTGACCCTGCAAAGTTGTGGACTTTAATTTCATGAACAATTTCAAGAAGTAAGTTTGAAGACTGAGTTCATTGAATTGTTGTTTAGCGTAAAGAACATATGAAGTGTGTTTTGGCGAGTGGTTTCGTATTATTACTCTACATCATAGTCTGACAGACTTATACGAGATATAGCTCCGGTTCACCGTCAATATGTTACATCAACAGCTTCCGTAGCAACCGAGGGTCTTTCTCTCTACACCAAGCTTCGCTTCAGGAGCGCACCTGATCCATCGCTCTGCTGCCTGCCTGGAGGCGCGGCGGCCGTACAGGCCTCGTCTACTAGCTAGCAGCTCATCGATCGAGCGAATCCTACGGCCACGGACGGTCAGATCAGGGTATGTATTACTAGATAGATCTAGGTCTACATCTCTTAAAATACATGGGTACAAAACATTGAGCTCCTCTGATGAAACAAAAGAACGGGGGGGGGGGGGGGGTGAAAGAGAGGAGAGAGAGAGGGTAAGACTAGAGAGAGGAGGGGTGGGAGTAGGAGTTAGTAAGAGAGAGAGAGGGTACGTTTGGTGCATGGAATTGCTTGTCGCTTGTCTTAACTACGCAAACACCATGTAGGCGAGCTCATAGTTGTTCAGCTTTTTAGTCAGAAAAACACACAATCTCAAATGTTGAAATATGTACTAGAATCTAGAGAAATATATGTTGAAAAATACTTTTTCACAGATTTCTTGTTAATTTCCAAACTTAGAAAAGTTTGTATTATAACAGCGCCACATGTACCTCACCCCCCCCTTTTCCCAGCTGCTATCGACTCGAGCATTCATGCTTATGATAGTTGGTCTCTGCATATTCATCTTGATTGTTTTACTTACCTCCATACTTCAAATTTTAAATTATTAAGTTTTAACTCTTTATGTAAATCAATTTGTATTGTTATTTTAATGTTTCATATTCGATTTATCAATAATTGCATTATGATCTTGTCCTTGATTTGGAATTGTAATATAATGTAAAAAATGATTCACTTTTATCTTGGTGTTAGATTATAGTTCATTTACAAATAAGTGTCCGGTATCAAAGGGAAGTTCATGGTGATACTACATGTAAGTTAGTTTTAATAATAGCAGATTAAATGAGAGGAACAGGTCAGTGAAAATTTAAGCAAATTCAAATAAAAAAAAATTGATGGAAAGTTATGATTTTTTTAAGTTGTGATCAATCGAACACAAATTGGCAACACTCTGACGTAAAATTTCTTAATTTTTTGTTGTTATTGATGACAGAATAGATTTTTTTCTCCATAAAAGGGTTGTATGGAAACATATTTGCAATTAATTATATTTTGGGTGCATACATGTATACACATGTATGTACAGTACTGATTGAAAATTTTCTTGAGGGAAAGCAAACATAATTCTGATGTTTAAAAAAATGTTAGTACACAGAGCAAATAGGAGGGGAGCATGCAAGATAGGTCACAGAGTTGCCAATTCTTTATGTTTGATTGATTGCAACTTCAAAAATTCTTAAAGATATAAAGACCAGTGGTCATGCGATCGCATTGTGAAAGAAACGTTGTGGAATAGATCAGAAAGGTTGATCATGTCTAGCATATAAGTATTGGTGTGTATACTGCAAGGCTCTGGAATCATCAAAATCATAAGAAATTTGGCCCAGTCTTGGTAAAGTTACAAGCACTGTACACAGAAAGATGTATATGGGACTACACACACGTGCGCGACACGTGCGTAATATCTATCACATCCCAATAGATAAACTAATTTACCAAATATATCAATTAGAAGGCGGTTTCTCAGCAAAATTTTTATGATCACGTATTAGTAAAAACATAATGTTTCACATGATTGGTAATAAGAGCTTCCATTTCATTTTTTGAGAGGGGGGCATTTCCAAAACTGGTCTTTACCTATTTAACTGTCTTATTTTGAATCAGAATCTGCTCAAAATTGGTATTATAATCTATTGTAACTATATACTATATACTATATTATACAACTCATGCCCAGATCCTAATCAAATGATTGGTCATGCGATTCAATTACTGTGCCTATATTGCACTCGTTTTCATGAAAAGGAGTGCAATATTTTCCAGTACTAATGAACTCGTTTTCAGAGCGCGCAGTAGTGCGCGTAGAGGTTAGCGCTTAATACTGCGTGTGCATGGGCGTATTCTTGCGCAGCACTATGCGTAAATGGGTGTAGAGGTAAGTGTGCTTGCTATATCTATACTTATGTGTGCGCACTAAATTGAGACTTATTAAAACTTGAGATTTATTTGTCAGCCATATACTGTCACGAAACAATCTTGAATGCATTCTTTTTACTTCAAATAACAAGGATCTAGGGGTTTCGTTGTATAAAACAAATGATGCATGTTTTCATTCGCTTATTATATGATCTATCCGCCCTCGTTGATGCTGTGTGTATCTATCGCACTCAGCCTAACGGCTTCATGCGATAGATACACACAGCCTCAACTCGAATGCGGATAGATCGTATAATGAACTCATGCGCATGCATCAGTATACATGTATAAGAGGCATGTACTCCCAGTCCTTTTTAAATCTCAGAATTACTTGTTCGCACTTTTAAAGTAGTTTTTGGTGCTGGTCTACATGTAGCTCTATCGCCCCTTGTGGTAGGCTGTTCCTACATGTAAGACTATAGGCATTGACTTCATAGGAATTTCTAGGGGGGGGGGGATTTAAAGAGCTCACAAATAATTTGCTTTTTCGGTTCTAAGCCGTCACTTTAAAATACTACAAGAGGCATTCACAAATATAGCGATATGTAGAGCTGTATGAAGAGATAGGGGTGCCAGAATACACGGTTTAAGAGATCTAACCATTTAACATTGTGTTATCATTTCAGGTGAATCTCATTGGATGTTTGAATAGAGGAGTATGAAGAAGCCGCTACCATGTCTGAGAAGAGACTATCAGTAGGTAGGTTCAACAAACTGGATACCATTGCAAATTAAAGTCATCAAGTCACAATTACTTAATTGTTTTGTTGGGACTAAAATTTGTGATAAAGCAGCATTTTTGTCACAAAGGCATAATGCTGCATCATAAGCAGATTTTGATTTGGAGATTTCTGATAGTCTCGGAGGGTATCTTTCAAAATATTTGCCACCAGGAAAGTTTTTGATGTAAAAACGAGTAGAACGTTTGGTACCCCTACAATTGGCCGGTGCATGGTACCCCAATGGCATCCATCCGTCCATATCCATTTGTCGGGCGTCCATCACGACCTGCAAAAAGTGCAAGACTCTCTTGTGACAAGTAACTTTGCATCCCTCAATCATATTGTGACCAATGTTGGGTCACAGGTGCATTTTGGGGACCTCCACTCTGTGATGCTATCATGGTTCAAATGCTAAGGTCAAAGGTCATTTGAGGTCATATGTTAGTTTTTACCTGCAAAATTACCTTTTGACAAATATTAATCTTCATACCTGTTATATTAATGTGACCAAACTTAGTACAGGGATGCAGTTGTGGAACCTTAATGTTGTTGTGCCTTAGAAGTTCACATGCTAAGGTCAAAGGTCATGCATATGAGGTCATATCACACTTGTGACAAATGACTTCAAAACCGTTCATCCTAGTATCACCAAACATGGGTCAGAGATGCACTGAGTGGACCTTCACACTATGGTGCTGCCAAGGTAACCCGACACATGCTCCGCCGACGATTGCTCCGCCGACATTTACTCCGCAAAACGCGACAATTGCTCCGCGACATTTTCTCCGCGACATTTGCTCCGACGTCAAATGCTCCGCCGACAGTTGCTCCGCCGACAGTTGCTCCGCCGACAGTTGCTCCGCCGACAATTGCTCCGCCGACAGATGCTCCGCCGACAATTGCTCCGCCGACAATTGCTCCGCCGACAATTGCTCCGCCGTCAATTGCTCCGCAAAACGCGACAATTGCTCCGCCGACATTTGCTCCGCCGACATTTGCTCCGCCTGAAGCGACACTTGCTCCGCCGACATTTGCTCCGCCGACAATTGCTCCGCCGACAATTGCTCCGCCTGAAGCGACAATTGCTCCGTCGACATTTGCTCCGCCTGAAGCGACAATTGCTCCGCCGACAATTGCTCCGCCTGAAGCGACAATTGCTCCGCCGACATTTGCTCCGCCGACATTTGCTCCACCGACATTTGCTCCGCCGACAATTGCTCCGCCGACAATTGCTCCGCCTGAAGCGACAATTGCTCCGCCGACATTTGCTCCGACGACATTTGCTCCGCCCAAAAAGTGTCCCATAAACTACAAATGCTACTAGTACTACGACAAATGCTTCGCCGACACTATTTTCTTTACACCTATTTTTTTCGTTTCTTTTTTTCTTCTTCATTTTCTGAATGCATTTCTTGAAATAATGTAGATGAAATGAAATGAATGAATGTTGATGAAGTGGGAGGAAAAAGGAGTTACCAAAAAGTCATTTCGAATATACTGAAATAACTTTCCATCTATCACTGTACGTCCCATATAATGTATACTAAACACTCATTACATGTCGTGGGAAGTTTTTAAAAAAAAAGTAGAGCAGCAAGCCACATTCCCCAATACGCGCATACCGGCTAGTTAATTTCAAGTAGCTCATCAATATGTAATACCTGAAATTACCTCGATCAATGCATCTTACTAGGTAAAGCATTATACAATAAAATAGGTCATCATGGAAGTTTAGAAAATAAGTAAGGGGGATTTACCAAGTGTTGATCTTTTTAAGAGTTTTATAAAGAAACAAAAAGATATTGAATATTTCTCAGCGAAAAAAAGGAACAAGCTTGTTTCGCATTTTAAGAAATGGCGATTTGACTTATGATACTCATGTTGATTTAACTTTTATTCCTGTGCCCCCTCACTCCCCTTTATGCACTGGAGTTCAAACTATGATTTATATGTGTACAGTGTATTTTTTTTTACTATAATGTTTTTTTTTTATAACTTTCTTGTCCTTTTATTATTGTTAGTTGTTCTTATACATATTGTTTTTTTTGTTTGTCTAATTATTACCAATGACTTGTAAATATGTAATTTTTATATGATTGCAAATTTAATAAACACACAAATATTAAAAAAAAAGTTTAGAAAATAAGGGCACTTATATACGTAAGGAAGAGAACCCATTCAGACGGGAAAATGAGATGGCAGCCTTTCTGCTTATTCACATTTATACAAATCATTTTGTTGCAGTTTGATGTTAGTTCTTCATGATAAGCCAATTGCTCTTCTTCCGGTGGCTTCGTGAGTCCCTTAAATTATTTAGTGAAAACAAAGTACTCGAATGAAACGGAGTGTTTTGCACACTAACATATATATATTAAAGCTACATACACTTAACTAAAGGAAAGAAACCTTTAGAAAATGGACTGGATATTATTGAAAATATTATTCTAAACAAGAATGTACTACATGATTGTATTACTTTACGTTTCAATTTCACGAGAGAAATAGAACTCGAGAGGGGGAGCAGAGAAGAAGTGATGGAAATGAAAGAAGACTAATAGCATGAGAGGAAAGAAAAGAGCAAAGAAGACAAGAAAACGGTGTAAACAGGAAAAGGAGGAGCATGGGAGAGAGAGAAAGAGAGAGAGAGAGAGAGAGAGATAGCCTTGAGCTTTGGATCAGCTAATGAGTAATACATGAAACAGATTTTGAGCGGAGTAATTATCTTTCGCCGGAGAACTTGCGTAAGGAGCTATAATTTTATTTTTTATTTTTTTAAATCAAACATTATGGGGAATAGCAAAAAACAGTTGTCTTTTTTGCTCTTTTCTTTCCTCTCATGTTATTAGTCTTCTTTCATTGAGGTAATTTCAGGTCTTACATATTGATGAGCTGTTTGAAATTAACTAGGAGGTATGCGCGTATTGGGGAATGTGGCTTGCTGCTCTACTTAAAAAAAAAAAACTTCCCATGACATGTAATGAGTGTTTAGTGTACATTATGTGGGACGTACAGTGATAGATGGAAAGTTATTTCAGTATATTCGAAATGACTTTTAGGCAACTGCTTTTTCCTCCCACATTATCAACATTCATTCATTTCATTTCATTTACATAATGCATTCAAAAAATGAAGAAAAAAAGAAAGAAACAAAAACAACCCGTGAAAAAAAAATATTGTCGGCGAAGCATTTGTCGTAGTACTAGTAGCATTTGTATTTAATGGGACACTTTTTGGGCGGAGCAAATGTCGTCGGAGCAAATGTCACCGGAGCAAGTGTCGCTTCATGCGGAGCAAATGTCGTCGGAGCAATTGTCGGCGGAGCAAATGTCGGCGGAGCAAGTGTCGCTTCAGGCGGAGCAAATGTCGGCGGAGCAAATGTCGGCGGAGCAATTGTCGCGTTTTGCGGAGCAATTGACGGCGGAGCAATTGTCGGCGGAGCAATTGTCGGAGGAGCAATTGTCGGCGGAGCATCTGTCGGCGGAGCAATTGTCGGCGGAGCAACTGTCGGCGGAGCAACTGTCGGCGGAGCACCTGTCGGCGGAGCATTTGACGTCGGAGCAAATGTCGCCGAGCAAATGTCGCGGAGCAATTGTCGCGTTTTGCGGAGTAAATGTCGGCGGAGCAATCGTCGGCGGAGCATGTGTCATGGAACCGCTGCCAAGGGTCACATGCTAAAGTCAAAGGTCATTTGAGGTCATATATTAAAGTTTACATATAAGACTCTCTTGCATGTTTTAACAAATCACTTTGCAACTGTTAATTGTATGTTTCATGTAATTCATGCTTGACTATTCAACCTTTCCTTTACAGTACCTCCTGATGTAACACTGGAGGATTTGGTAAGTTTTATTTTTCTTATTTTCTTCTTCTTTGTGCATTATCGCTATGGCTACATGTTTTTTGTGCAGGGCTTTTTTAAAAACCTTTTCCTTACCACCAATCCTCTTCAAATTTTCTGGGCATCTTACTATCAATGTCTAGGCATGCATTCTTGCTTCTTTAAAAATTACTCAAGCGTGACATGCTGAACACCATTTTCTTTCAAAATTCAAATCTTTGTGACACATTTTCGACCCTTTCCTAATATTGAGTCTTCTTGAAACTTGGCATACACATTGCACTCTTATAATACATCTAATTTCTTTCAAACTGCCATCATCCTTTTCCTATCTGTTTTCACACAGATTACATTGGTTGGGCTGCCCATTCAACACTTATTTCATTCCTACTTAATTAAGGCTTGTTCAGAACTGCGGTGAAAAAGGCTGCCAATTTTTGTTTTAAACGTGTAAAATGAATAGCAACTGTGTGCAGCTAGTTAAGGACTTGGGTGTGTTCACACTGATGAGCTCTGTGTTTTAAGTTTTGAAAAAGTGAAGCGCATTACACTTAAAGATAAACTTGAGTTCTGGTAAAAAAAGAAAATGAATTCTCACAGAATCTAACGAAACTTACACTGAATGTTCAAGATTACAAATAAATGTCATGTGCCAAACAATTTTTAAAGAAAATGTATACTGGCTGAGTAATGAGCATAGAAAGATAAGGAAATCGGGGTAGTACTAGCCCCGACACCATGTGTGTTGTCCCATATACATCTTCCTGTGTAAGTGATTGTTACTTTACCAAGAGTCTGCTAAATTTGTGATGATTTTGATGACTCCAGAACCTTGCATTACACACCATTACTTACATGCTATATGATCAACTTTTCTGATCCATTCCACAACGTTTCTTTCACAATGCAATCGCATGACCATAACTGGTCTTTACCTTTAACGTCATAAATATACTGCCACAGATTTACTGCATCATTTCTGAATGAGCCGTTAAAATATATGGACATGTATACAAGAATATATGAGAGTGATAGAAATACATCTTAGTCTCTTGTCATATTTTTGTTCATGAATTTCAATAGGCCATTTTCGTAATGTAACTCAATTTAATCCATAAGTCTTTGTGAAGTGCCTCAATACAAGTTATTTCATTCACCTGATAAGAATAATAGTATTTCAATAAACAGAATGCAAACTGCATATATTAAGTGTTGCTAGGTAGGTCAAGCCATAATGTTGTCCTACCTGGCAACAACTAATGTATGCAGTTTGAATTCTGTCTATTGAAATACTATTATTCTTATCAGGTGAATGAAATTGTATTGAGGCACTTCACAAAGACTTAAGCATTAAATTTGGTTACATTACGATCGATGGCCTATTGACAGTACTCTGTATGTTCTTGGTGCTCATGGTGTACTTGTCTCTCCACAGGAGGATTATCTGGCAGTAGATGATCTCTTCATTGATTATTTCAATGCCTTCTTGCAGCTGTCGGTATGTGTTTTGATACATTCATTATTCAAATGTACACAAAACTTTGTTTCCTTTTCTTTTAGACATACTGCACCTCTTGTCTGGAATGCACTTCCTCAGGAAATATGTAACACTAGAATTTGTAATGGATTTAAAAGGAAACTCAATCTTATTAATAGCAAGTACTTCTTCACATATTATATATATTTCGTTTTGGATTGTTTTGCTATTGTCCAGTAAATTATTTTTGTACATAGTTATCCATTGCAAAAATATTTTAATTCAAACCTTTGGCACAGCCTCGACAATTTCAAATTTATTTGAACTTTTGCAGTGACCCAAATTCCATTTGATTTCTTTACCTTTAAATGTATTGATCAGTGACCTTCTGATGTTTGTATAACTTGCATTTTTTTCTTTTTTACACTTGTAATATCTTTTATATACATATATGTTTTTTATTGAATGGAAAGAATAAATCTTGAATCTTTGATGCTCTTTTGATAGGATGACAAATTTTCATTTCAAATGTAAGAATCAATTTGTAAATCTTAAATCCAACCGATATTCATTGGGTGACAAGAAAAGATCTAAATGTCACATTGATCATGTTGGCAGGGTTAGAGAATCTACATTTATATGACATGTTTCTAACCTTTTAAAATGTAGTCATAATTTTTTATTCTACTTAAAGGTATTGTTTAACAATGTTTCCAGTTTTACAAATCTAAGATGCATGGCTCGGCCTACATGTACGTAGTATCAGTGTCTGTGATATGGTGTAATATTGAAGCCCTAAAAAATTGCGCTTCAAAATGATCATGAAGCGCTTTCAAAACGTAAAAATCTTTGAGAGGCAGGTTTTACCATACTCATTTTATGTTATAACAAACTGTTCAAAACTGTTTGGCAAACAGTTTTTGACATTTCTAATTTCAATCATAAATACCTAAAAGTGTATAATTATGAGGCCTTTAGGTGCCAAAACATGGGTCGGTCGGTCGGAAATCTGTTTTTTAATTTTTTAAACAAACTCTCTCTTTAGGCTGATATTTCTCAGTTTTTAATGCTTTAATACATTTTTTTTCCCCAAAATAGTAAAAAAAAAAATTGTTTAAAGAGCCGACCGTCGATTTCAAATTTTTGGGTCGGTTGGGCAATACAACATCTTTTTTTTTAGGCCTGATTGCAGCATGGGCTTTTGTTGAGAATCTGAGGCAAAGATACAAAATCCCTTTAATTTTATTTTGAAAGACCTTGTTACCAATTACTTTGTTTTAATGGATATCATTTTTCAAAGCTATAGGAAAGGTAAACATTGGTTGTTGTTATTTGAAGTGGAATTGTGTTGTTGTTGCAGGAATAAGTTTCAATAACATGAGGACTAATGCTGAAGCAATTAATGTATATTTCTTTTAGACATTCTCCAAACCTGTCTACTTCAACAAGGAGTATGGTGGCTTTGAAGTGGTCAATGATGACAAGCAAAGCCTTAAGCAACGTCTGCGTGACTTGGTGCGCTCTCAGCAGAAGCCTAATCCTATCTACAAGGCAGCTGTTGCTGTGGCGATGGCCAAGAAGCCTCCTAAGATGCCTTGGCACTATGCTGAAGAGATGGAAGAGCCAGATATCAAAACCAGCTTTAAAGTACAGGTTAGTACTAAAGGTGTACCAAGTGTACCAAGTGTACCAAGTGTGCCAAGTGTGCCATTTACATCCTATTTAATAAGATTTATTGTAATATCCATGTATTTGACGTGTATCGATCAACTATAAATGAACCAGTCGGGCTTAATAGGCATTTCTCTGGTACGACCAACAAAAATTCTTCCATTTATCATGTACCTGTTTGTCTTTTCGTCTTTAGTATTTATCTATTTTGTTTTTGCTGCTATTATTTGTTTTATTCTTGCCAAACAGGGCCTCATGGAAGGCCACCAAATTGGTGAAATTGCCACCCTGTATGAATATCAGAAATTAATAAATAAATAAATAAATAAATAAAATACATGTCGCCGAGGCCAAGCTGTGTCCCATATATGCTACCAATTATTATTGAAATATATTTTATGGAACATTAATTGACTTGAAATATAATTATATTTGATGTATGTTCTGATTCAAGCTCTATAATAGGCTATCAGCTTGATTCAGTCATCATGCAGATACACTGAAATCATAGAAATGATTGGTAACATATAGGGCATAATAGCTTGGACATATTCATGTATGGAATAAATACAGTCAAACCTGCTTTAGTAACCACCTGTCTACAAAGACCACTTGTCTATAAAGACCACAATATTTGTTTCCCTTGAAAATGGTTTCCCATTGAAACATGTACTATTAAAAAGAACCTGTACATAAAGACCACCTGCCTATCGAGACCACTTTTCTTGTCTCCCCTGGGTGGTCTTTGTAGACAGGTTTCACTGTATTCTAATGATGTTGTGTTGTGTATTACAGTGTCTGAACAAGGAGCAAGGCATTCAGTGGATAAAGGCTGAGAGACTACCCACATTCTTACAGAGCGACTGTTTTATTGAGTACAGACTGGCCAAGCTCATCTCACAAACAGAGGTAAAATGTAGCATTAAAGGGATTGGGTATTACGTCTTTGCCTCGGATTCTGAAACAAAATTATGGAATTAGCTCATGCTGCTATGATAATTATAAAACTTTAGGTCAGTCAGGAACTCCATGACTTTTACAAGCCAATCGCCTGTCTGATTATCAAGATATTTCTGATTGGAAATTGAAATCAACTTAATTTTGCTTTTTCCTAACGGTTTTCATAACACTACAGTCTATTGGGGGAAAAGAGTGTGATAAAACCGGTCACTCAAAGATTTTTACTTTTTTGAGGCACTTCATGGTCATTTTGAAATTTTTTAAGGGCTTCAATATTACACCATATCACAGACGCTGATAACACGTTGGGCTGTGCATCTCAGACTTAACATTGTTAAGCGATGCCTTTAAGGTTATTCAATTAATAGGCCTGATTCAAAAAGATTTTCTTTTAAACATGCATGGGCCCACTGAATTGGACCTCATCTAAAAAGTCATTTCTGGTAACATTTTGTGGTTTTGTGGTTTTGTGGTGCGGACTGGGTTACATTTTGAAAGATAAGACAAAATAATTGTTCTTCATGAGCTGCTGTTAATACCCTTCAGAGGTTTCACACAGTTCAATTGACTCTACTTCTTTTCTTAAAGGTACTATGTCCCATTTGCAGGCCAAAAAATAAAAAAGGTTAAATTCCAATGGCATTTGAAACATACTAGTAATTTAGAACTTCCCTAAGAAAGAGGGGGCTTGAAAATGTTTTATTAGTTGTTGAATCAACTTAAGAGCTATAGAGCCAGTAAGTAATAGTTTGATTTTCAGACCATTGTACCGAATGGTCGTACGTTTTATGTTGCACAAAGATTCAATTAGTTTGATTTTGGCCATAACAAGAAGCGGGTTATTGATGTAGACAAATGCTCATGTACCCTTTACATCTCATTTTATGTATGTTATTTAATAGCAAAGAAGAAAAAAAGCCAGTCAGTCACTCAATAGTGTCTGACAGTGAATTCTAGCAAGTAAACAGGTTTCCTTGCATAATTTGAATATCAGGACACTGCTAATGTTTAAATTTCACAGATAGGACATACATGACACACATTCATAATTCCTGCAAACTTCTACAGAATTTGATGTTGGCTGATGTATCTTTAATGCTCAATGATATGAAAACAATAAAACCTAGTTGGTATTGATGTATATCCGATGTAAGGTTTTGCCACCAAAATCATTATGTGGAAGAAAGCGAAATCAAGAACTAATATTTGAACAGTGGACAGGAAATCATTGGATGATAATATTGCTTTTGTCAAGTTACATGTATGAGACAGAATTTGTTAATGTTATTTTTATCTTCACCAGATTTTTACTACCGGTATATGTATTCTAATGTTTTGTATTATAAACTTGCCATTCTTATTTCAGATTGCCGACAAGGTATCTGATACTCCATTAAAGCTTTTCATTGATCCAGAATATGAACCATTTGCGATTGAAAGACCACCTGTGATTGAACCGCCTGAGGTTGATGAACAAGCCATAGCCATACGAGACTTATTTGTTTGCATGGGTGAAGCCTCAACTACGCAAACTCAAGAGTGGTTCACTACCGTCAAGATGTCAGCTACCACATCCACAACAAACTCAGTAGGCAATAGACCGGCTAGTGCAGTTGGAGCTCTCGGAACCTCAAACAAAGAAACATTGTTTGACAATCCAGTAGGCAATAGACCGGCTAGTGCAGTTGGAGCACTAGGAACCTCACGACCTGGTAGTGTTGCTCTGACCTTAGACAGTGGCTTTGCCAGCCCTTCAAGATTGGATGGCTTAAATACATCGCTCAGCAATCAGGACCTGAGTATGGATATGCTCAGTGATCTACCAAACAAAGAAACATTGTTTGAGAATCCTTTAAAGCTGCGTGAATGGCGGGCACCAATCGGTGACAATGTGTGTGTGGTGACCGCCGACATCGAAAAGAAAGGACATGGTGGGGCGTACTATCTGGATATCAACAAACCAGAAATGGTAGAAGAAGAAGATGATGACGAGGCTTCGGTAGAAAGTGATGAGAGTGGTTGTGACAGTCAGCCGCTTGAGAAGAGAGAATCTCTTGATTTAACTGAGATTGAAAACAAGACTGAGTCTGAGACACAAGAGAAAGAATTGGTTGCGTCTACCCCAACCCCGAGGGTTATCAAGATAAGGAATATAAGTGATATTGCTAGTGTTGTCGTGTCCATCTCACTAAAGAAGGCAATATTAGTTGCAACTGAAACATCCAAGGAGGACATTGATAAGTTTCTAGATGACAAAGTGCTGAAGGTTGAAGGGGTTAAAATGGCCGACCTGACTGCAAAGTGGGAGGATCAACTAGAGTATGCACTACCATCAAGTCTAGTCACTCCCAAGAATATCACACTGCAGGTATTTATTCTCAATCCTTGAACTATTTTGGGAGCTCATCAAGTCTTTGTCCCCAAGAGCCTCATGCCATGACTTGGCCTAAGTTTCTTTTACATTAGGACAAAATTAAGCTCAAATTCTATTTTTTATAAATACCTAATTTAGTGCTGAAGGCATTCTGTTTTCAGGTTGCCATGGTAGTTTAAGACCAATGAAAAGATCATGACCAAATTTACCGCAGACCACGAACATTATGCATATACGCATGAACTTTTTTTCCTTTTTTTTTTGTTTCATTTATTATTTCATATGCTTAATCCTAGTGCTGTAGCCGATTTTCACCGAACATGCAACTGCCGAACCAAATCAAACATTATTGGTATATTTGGCTAAAATTACCTGTAGAAAGTTTGATGGTTTTGTCCGCTGTGTCCCCCCCCCCCCCCCAAAAAAAAACAATAAATAAATAAAAAAAATATGGGCCCAAGGAACCTCACAAATGAAATGAACTCTTTTAAGATTCTTTTAATACCGGAGTTTTTGTTGTATCAGGTCTGATAAACACCCGATTTAAATCGGTTTCCCGATTTTTTTTATTTTTTCCCGATTTTTTCCCGATTTTTTTTTCTTCCCGATTTAAAAAAAAAAAAAAAAAAAAATCCAGATTTTTTTTTTTTTTTTTTTTTTACCAATTTTTTTTTTCTTCCCTATTTTATCCTGATTTCCCCCTTATATTCTCTATTCTTCCCTATTTTGCCCTATTTTTTTCCAATTTTTTTTTTACTCAAGGGGGGCGTGGTTGAGGGAAAAACAAAAAACCTATTTTCTTGTTAGTGCTCACTATCACCCCTGTGTATAAAAAAGATAACACATTTTTAATTTGTTCATTACAGGATTTCTCTGCTCATGTTAAGGCTTCAATACAATAGATGCAAACAGCCTCAACTTGAGGGTGGATAGATCGTATCATGAACTCATTTGTGTATTATCTTTCAATTCTGAATAACTTTGCATGACATGAGTCCATTCTTTTATATATGTAATGCTTCCTGGGAGAAATTTCAATTATTTAAACATATTTGTGGCTTATACACCCAGTAAATAAGATAGATTGATCGATCTGTAATTGAAAAACAAGTCAGAAAAAATTTACTGGGTGTAAGCCACAAATATGTTTAAATAATTGAAATTTCTCCCAGGAAGCATTACATTAATAAAAGTTATTTCCTATGGCAGACTAACAAATATTAATAAGTCAGAATGAATCAGGAGAGCTTGGGTATTTGTTTCTAGTTCATCGTGACTGTGCCATGGACCAGTGATGGCCTGGTGGTAGAGTCGCTGTCCGGCAAGCAGTAGATGCAGGTTCAAGTCCCGCTGGTTCCAAGATTTTTTCTGACTTGTTTTTCAATACAGATCGATCAATCGATCTTATTTACTAGTTGTAAGCCACAAATATGTTTTTTTTTAAATGACTCCATTCGTTATTGTTTTTGATGCAGGTTCCTGATGAAGTTGAGCGTTCCATTAGTCGACTGTCTACCACACTGTCTGAATGTAAAGCTGACACAGTGGGGGATGCAGATTCTCTCTTTGACAGTGATCAAGAAGCAGAAGAAGAAGAGGAAAGCCGGGATATCTTCTTCAACAAACCCAAACAAACCTTTGACTTGACCAGTAAGAAGGGTATAGATGCCTTCAAGAAGTTTCTTTGGGGCTCAGAAGGAGAAAAGTGCTGGAATTTATGGTTAGACATTGACCGGGGAACCATGATTGATGAGCAGGAGGTGTGCAAAGTGTAAGTTAATTCACACTGCTCGTCTGGGGGGTGTTTCACAAAGACTAAGATTGACTTTAAGTTGGACTTAACTATGGCAGGCCATTCATGCCACTGGTTGCTGTCACCAATGGTCTCTCAATTATGATCTTCAGATGATATTTTTTTCCTTCATTAATGAATAATCAAAAAATGTTAATTCTGTAGATTTGTGACCATGATTTGTACGTCTCTTGAGAGACCAATGCCAATAAATGGTGAGAGCAAACAGCGGCATGAACAGCCTGTCATAGTTAAGTCCAACTTAGAGTCAATCTTAGTCTTTGTGAAACAACCCCCTGGTTGGTGAAAGAAGTTCTGTCCTGCTTGTTTTTTTTTCCTTTTCTTTGCAACATCTCCAAGTCTAATTTGAACATCAAACATGATAATGGTACATGTATGCATCCCTTTTAAAAGAAGAACTGATTATTATGAAACAAAAAAAGAAGATCATTAGAGTCAGAGTTCTCAGGAAGAGTCACATTGTAATGTCAGAATTTGTAATGACATAAAACCGCAACAGCTAACTGCACATTTACTTGTATGTCAATCAGAACATCTGGTTATAGTTTAGTAGATGTCAAAGAGAATTTTGGATGGTTTTTATGGTGAGTATTTGATTTTTTTTGGTGAAAGTTTATATTTTGTTGGAGTAACCGAAGTGTGTTTTCTGCAGGTTTCTATCGCATCTTAGAGACAAGTACATCAAGACTGGAGGCGAATGTGAGCTGTCCTCTGCCATCAGAGAAAGACTGGGTCTTAAAAAGCCTTCAATTTGGACATCGATGGAACAACTTGCTCGGCTCAAAACAAATATTATTAAACCTCTGCTCCTTTATTGGTAAGACAATCGTTTCATGCCTCTGAGCTATTTCGTAGATCAGGTTTTGAAAATCTATTTTAGAATAGGAACAACTTGCTCGGCTCAAAACAAATATCATTAAACCTCTGCTCCTTTATTGGTAAGAATTCGTTTCATGCCCCTGAGCTATTTCGTAGATCAGGTTTTGAAAATTCTATTTTAGAATAGGCATAACTTGCTCTGCTCAAAACCAATATCATTAAACCTCTGCTCCTGTATTGGTAAGACAAAAGTGTTTCATGCCCCTGAGCTATTTCGTAGATCAGGTTTTGAAAATTCTATTTTAGAATAGGAATAGCTTCATCTGATACAGGTGTATTAATAGGCTACAGGGATGGTTGCTTTTGTGGGAGTGAAAAACTGAAGGGCTTACTTGCGCTTTGATAACTACACAAGAGAACCTCTTTTTTAATTTTAAGAAAATGTACTCCTAAAATAAATCTAAACATGATTTCGCAAATATGTTGCATCTAGGGCTGGTACTGAAAATTGGGTACAAGAGTCCTGCTCGTGACCTTTGGGTCCCCGGTCAAAAAATAAGAGTTACCCAAAATTGGATCGCAATAAAAATAAACCCCTTAAATGTGAAAAAAAAATTAGCAATCAAATAAAGCAACTCATGTGCATACCTTGGCTCATACATGTATCTATATATTCTCCCATTTTATATTATTTTCCTCCATGTTTGGTGATATTTATAGTGCCAATTTCATGCCTCAGAATGTAGAATCTTGGTATAAAAGTAGAAAGAGAACATATAGGTGTCATGGTCGAGTGGATATGTCCCCGGACTGTAGATCACAAGGTCCGTGGTTTGAGTCCCGCCGCGGCACTAATGTCCTTTGGCAAGACAGTGCTCTACATTTGCCACCCCCAACTCAGGTGATGTAAATGGGTACCTGGCAGAAATAAATTTCTTTAAATGCTAGAGTGCCGTAATCGGGAGCGCCAGGAGTGTCAAGTCTGAAAGACATGAGCGCTATACAAGAACCCACTTTTATTATTATGTATGCCACCATTTTGATAATGTATCCATCAAGCTAGGACACCTCTACATTGGTTATACATGTAATGGTTGCAGGTCTTATGAGTGAAAGTGCATTGTTTGGCAAATTATTTTGTTTCCTCTTTTGTTGGCTTTTCTTCCTTTTTCTCTATTCAGTTTTCTTTAATGATCTTGTTAGTCTTTTTTCATTTTCACAATTCTGTTTACTATCACTATTAAGATGAATGACAATGAAAGAGGACAAAATATACAGTTCCTCATTCTACCTTCAACAATTGCTGTGGTAGACAAAGGAACATCCATTTACTGCTATTATGTAAAAATAGGTAGAATAGGTGAATATTCATGTGACACCTGTTCTACACATTTTTACATAATAGCAGCAATTGTTGAGGGTAGAATGAGGAACTGTATATTTTGTCCGCTTTCTTTGTCCGACATGTTCGTAGTGTATGCTCTTATTATAACTTTTTTCAATTCCGATCATCTCCCTGTGTCTCTGTTATGCAGGGCGCCATGTTTCCTGATGCGAGAGACCTACCAGCAGAACCAGTCAAGCAACTACCTTTACATCCGACAGCAGCTTCTTACCCAACGAGACACTGCAACCCATCCAGATCCTCCAACAGTCACATTACTTCCCCTTCGCCCTAAGACATGCTGCCCCAGACTTCGCTCATATTCGGCTGATTCTGAGGTAGGTCTCATTCTCTATAACTATGGGACTATGTTTTGGGCTTGTCTGTCCGTCCTGCTTTCTTGTTATTAGGGACTTTTAGATTTACACGACGAGAACATGGACCGCTATGTGTGACATCCTTTTAAGGTACTGTGATGTCCTTTTAAGGTACTGCCGGGCACGGCCCAGTGTCTTTACACAATGTCACACGCGGCAGTCCATGCTCTCGTCGTGTAAATCTAAAAGTCCCTATTGCAATATCTTATAAACCACAAGAGATACACTGTATGAGCCTCAAACATGGTGACAGTACTACTCTAAAGAAGGTCGTCATCATCGATCATCAACTTCAGGTGGCGCTGTAAAGCGCTGCTGTGGTCTTCACGAGAGCATGCCATGCAACTCTTTCACCTGCCATTTGTGTTGCACCTTGCATTCCTTGTCCAGACACTTTCTTGATATCATCAGTCCAAGATATTGGTGGATGCCCTCTACCCTGTTTTCCTTCGACTGCTACTTGTAGTATTTCCTTCTCAACATTTTGGGGCTAGTAGGTCAAGATCATAGTCGTCGGTCGACATTTGATTACCAGGTACAGGCTTTTTGGTTTCATTGTGATATGTCATGGATTATTCCATCCATTTCCTATACCCAATTTAGGGTGGAGGCATATAGGAGACGCAATCGCATTTGTCTTGTTCAGTCTGATTCTGACGTATATCTTTCTATTCCAATCCGGCTATGAAATGCATATAGGTCTTACCTTGCCTTTCTAGTACAATCTGATTCTGAATCGGGTCTCTTCTCTTTCAGTAAGATATTGCATTTTTCGGATACATCAAATTAGAAATGTTGATATTATAATTTCATATGAACAGTGCTGTAAGATTCTTTCAAGTTGAACTCCAGAAATATAGAAGTAGAATTTTTTTTTTTCTTTTTCTGATTTGTTTTTTTATACAGATCGATCAATCGATCTTATTTACTGGGTGTAAGCAACAAATATGTTTAAATAATTTAAATAATAGATATATTTTTTTCTCTATTGTTACAGCCCGTCGAAGTTCATGTAAATCAACACATGATGAATCCACCAGCATCACCATCATGCTCAGACGTTAGACCGTCCAGTAGCCCTCAGGGATCAGGAAACAGAGCAAACAGTAGACATGATAGGAGCCAAACCCTACCTATCATACCCCTCACAAGTGCTTTGACAACTATCTCCCCTAAACAAGCCGTACCGCTTGGTAAGGCATCCGTTACCAGTATCCCTACCAAGAAGAGAGTGGAAGTGATCAACTATGGCTCTCCAGCAGGACCTGGTCTCATTAGCAGAGTCAAACCTGTTCCTCCAAAGTCTGCTCCTCCATCGTCCATAATGACAAGAAGGAAACGACTTGAGATCGAGCCAACGGTAAAGGATGAAGAGAAGGAGCTAGCGATACAAGAAGGGACGGAAGATGAAGAGCGTGTTGATGATGATGATGTGAAGAGTGATGCATCAGAGGGCCAAGGAGACAGAGGATCTCAATGCAGTAATAATTCACAACAGTAAGATTCATTATTCTTGTTTTATGCATACATCACCAGGGGCGGATCTAGCTTTTTGCCAAGGGGGGGGGGGGGGGGGGGGGGGTTAAACCGCCGTTTTACTTTTTTTTTTTTTTCCCCTTCCTTTTTCCCCCTTTTCTTCTTCACTCGGCCGCCCAAGGAGGGGGGGGGGGGGGTTAAACCGCCGAACCCCCCCCCCCCCCCCAGATCTGCCCTTGATCACCATAGTTGGTTCTAGAGCATTATGTCACTGCTTTGTCTCTCTATTTACATGTACCTTGCTTGCTGTATTAAAAAGGGAAATCCAACAGTTGTTCTAATTTGAATTTGAACATCTGGAAACAGAAAAATCAGAGAAATAGATTGATGAAAGTTTGACATAAATTAATGAAGATCACAGAATCTTAAATTGACTGTGACAGAGTCGCGAATACCCCCACCCCCCATTTTCATGTACACTAAAACCATGAAGTTTACATGATTTTTCTCCTAAGTAACTTTCCCCTCAGGGCTACACTCAATACATAACATGTATTCACTAAAATGAGACCCGGCTTATCAATGAAATAAAGAATAAATGACGGAGTAGATGGATACTGAGTAATCTGACATAACATTCTATCACTTCAAGATTACCATAAGTAAGAGGAGTCAAATATTTAAAATTCATACTTCCTTGTTTTTCAGTTTTGTTTTGGAGGTGAATCATTCTATTTCTCTAATTTCTGCTTTCCTTCATGAGGCTTCTTCCTTTGAGAATGTTTACGCCTCTACCACTGTAGGTTCGGGTTGTCCATATCCATCCCGCTTTTTGATACCGCGATAACTCAAGAAACATTGACATGTTTTAAAGGGTGACTAAATTAGAAATTCATGTTGAGTTGTGTTGATTTGTTACTATGTATACATCACATATCTTTTGACTTTTAGATGTACATTTATTTCATATATTTTGTATTATTTTTTCTATTACTTTTGTTCTACCTGCTAAGCTCCATCCCTAACCAAAAACCCTCCAAAAGCAAATAACTTCTATGACATCATCATGCCAGTCATTCATCAGTATGGTAGATGAACAAAAGACATTGGTATGTCCCTTCCATCAACTGACCACCTGTTCACAGAAGCATTGCATGTTTATTTTAATCACCCTTTAACCCAACTTGGTTGTGAATTTGAATTCTTGAGCTCGCCGCCATGTCAGTCCGAGAAAGGATCCCGCCCATGTTCTGCTACGAGCAGTGTGGTTTCCAATGATACAGAGTTCCGTGGAGGAGTTCAGATGGAAGGCCTACTCAAGGATCTCTATCAGGAGAAAAGAACCGGTGGCTTTATTAGAACCTTCCTAGAGAAGAGAGAAGATGAGGTAAGATTTATTAATACATACCATTTAATCCTTTTGATCCTGAAAGTGTTAACACCGGGGGAGTGTTTCTCAAAGACTAAGATCGACTCAAGTTGGACTTGAACTATGGCAGAGTAGCAAGTGCAGGTAAATATCTTGCTAAAGGATATTAGTGCCGTATCGGGATTCGAACCCTTCGCATCTCCAGTCAAGTGCCTTAAGCCACTCGTCCATGACACTCCCATAAGGACCTTGGAACTCAATTAGTTACCGGTATAAAGATATTAACACATTGATGGTATTGGGCTTGGGAACCATTATCTGAGAGATATACACAGAGAAGTGAATATGTTATACTCTCTGTAAAATTTGTGTATATTTGATTGCAGATATTTTCAGTAAAGTTTATTTTCTTGCTTTCATAGGTAGCTGTAAACTGTTTGGGCTGCTGGCATGAGCTTCAGGATTACCATGCTCTTTTCTACACAGATGTCTTTAACCCTTATAATGTCACAAGGAAAGCTAAGGTTAGTAAGATGCTTTTTTCAACCTTTTCGTAAGTCCTTGAGTCTTTATACCAGAAATGAGTGGCGAGAGAAGACTATGAATGTAACAGCTGAAGTCCACACATGTATGTACACATACCTGTACTGTACATGTATATGCATTGAATATCAACAATCATGCAAAATGCATTGTTTATATCACATCAAAAGATAAAGTATGATCAAATTTGCCTGTTGGACTCTTTAAATATTCCAAACCAATGAATGTATTTTTGCTTTCTCTGATGAGGAAAGCAAATGTGCATTTCAAATCAGTAAAATTGCTGATTGTTTTAAAAGGAGAGTAGGCGGTTTGTGTTGTGTACAAAATCTACTGCATTTTCTGAGTGAGTTTCAGTTTTGATGATTTGTAAAAAAAAAATCACATAAAATGACATTTCAAGAAGAATTTTTTACAAAAGATTTGTAATTATTGGTTGGCTTTATGTCTTAAGCACTTTGAAGCCACCTACACTCAGCTTTTTTAAAGGAAAATAAAATGCTCTTCACCTCAGGGCTTTAGGTTATTATCAATAGCATCATCATTTGAAACTGTTTGTTAAAGATTTGTATGGATTTACTTTTATCTGTACAAAGAACTTTTAATGTTTATAAAACAATTATGTAATTGAGTAGTTTTAACATCTCACTTTGTGTATAAACATTTTTTCTATCTATCTATCTATAAGTATCTTCTCCCGGTACAGAGGTTGATTGCAACATCTCTCCATTTCACTCTATCTTCTGCCATTCTGGTGCACTCTTGCAGTTTTAGTCCACTCCAGTTCTTGACATTCTCTTTCCAGTTGATTGTGGGTCTCCCTCTAGGTCTACTTCCTTCCACTCTTCCTTCCAATACATCCTTTTAGATGCTTTGGTGTCTTTTAACATGACCAAAGTATTTGATTTTTCTCTCCTTAACTAATCCTACTAGTGCAATTTGTTTACGCCCTGCCATGTGCAATATCTCTTTGTTGGTTTTCATTCGTTTCCAGGATATTTTCATCATTCTTCTGTAGATCCACATTTTAAAAGATGTTATTTTATTTTCCATGGCCTTGTTTATTGTCAACATTTTTTCATTATAATTCTTGTCTTGATGATAAAGACAATCCAGTCCAAGTATGTGGTTGAGACATGCTTCTTTGAGGTGAGGTGCCCTCCAGTGATCAGGTACCAAGTATTCCGTCAGATCAACCCTCCGTATGAAGACCTGTTTGATGGACTAGAAGAACACATCTTAGCCACATTGCTCATCCCATGGCTGGACATGAAAGAGAATGACCGTTCACTTTCAAATAAGGTCAGTATGATGTGTGTGTGTGTGTGTGTGTGTGCGTGTGTATTGGTATAAGGTCAGTATGATGGCCGGGACAATGTTCGTGTGTGTCAACCAGTACGATTGAAATCATATTTAGTACAATAATAAGAGTGAAATACGATAATATGATATCACCTCTTAAAATATGATTTAAACCCCATAAAAAACCCATAAAAACCGCGTAATCGCATAGAAACATGTACATGTAAATCCCCGCAACTCCAACAAAAAATTTGCTTTACAATTTTCTCTTTAAATTTTAATGAAAGAGCAAACATTTAACTTGATTGTACTTGTAGTGTCGAGTTTTCAAAACCATGTTGTTATATTGCTATGCTAAAAAAATGCATGTTTTCAAATTTTCAAAGTGGGACCGCCGATTGCATCGCTAAATTTGTGATATTTACAATTACTTCTTTCATCGCTAATGCTGCTCATCTGTGATTTTGGTATGGGATGCCATGAATCACAGGGTCATAAAAGTACCGCATTATCACGAAACTTTGAGTAGCATTAAAGCAATTCAAACCAAAATTGGATGAAGTTTATATGAGCATTAGACGGTATTTACCGGTGTGTTGGCTCAGTTAGTAGAATGTCCGCCTCACAACCAGGAGGTCGTGGGTTCATATCCCGGCCGCGTCATACCAAAAGACGTTAAAAGACGGAGTTGCTGCTACCTTGTCTGGCGTTCAATAATAAGGGGATAGAGCAACGTCGATCTGGCGCTGCTCAGTGGCTGCCGGGCTCACGATCAATTGGGCAAAAGGAATTTCCATTTTCGGTTTAATAACATTTGGAGTGGACTAAAAAGATTATTATTATTATTATTATTATTTACTCATTGAAGAAAAATGTTTCAAATGAAAGTATGTCATTCTGTCCTCTTGTTATAGATTGAGCTTCTTGAAGAAGAGAGGCAATTGGACAACATAAAATCCAAGCATCTACAGAAACTGCAGCGCAGACTCATGAGAGAGGTATGTACATATATTCCTTAAAGATAAAGACCAGTCATGCGATTGCAATGTGAAAGAAAAGTTGTGGAATCGATCAGAAAAGGTTGATCATCTAGCATTTACATACAAGTATTGGTGTGTACTGCAAGGTTCTGGAACCATCAAAATGATAAGAAATTTGGCCAGTCTTGGTAAAGTTACAAGAACTGTATACAGAAAGATGTATATGGGACTATTGGAGGTATATTGGAGACGCAGTTGCATTTGTCTTGTTTTACAATGTAACAAGCCCTCAAAAGAAAAGATTAAACAATTGAACGTACTTCCTTTTTCATTTCACAAACTTGTACATTGATTTTCACCCTGTATCCTGATTTTAAAGAATGATTGCTATGAGGGGAGAATTGAAAAACAGGAGCTGAAGAAAAGAGATCAGCTTTTCCAGGAAATAACCTTGCTATCCTGGGTTTTTTTTTCACAAAGATCCTAAGTTGAACTTATCTCTATAGTTGGACTTAATATTATGGAAAGCTGTTAGCATCTATGAAAATATTTTGTAAAAAGTTATTTTAAAAGGCATAAAATGTTGTTTCAAATCCTTTATGTTTTCTATTATAAAGGAGATTTCATGTTCTTAATGTGGAATTTATAAAAAGTCTAAAATAACTGAATTTTTGCTTTTGATTATACTTTTGAAGGCTACAAATGGCTCTCCATAATTTTAAAGCCCAACTTTAATAGAGTTAAGTTCCACTTAGGATCTTTATGAAACACACCCCTGGAAATAACTTTTGCTATCGTAGAGTATGCCTAAGTAGTTTCAGTGAGAGTGTGTATTGGGTTTTTACAGACGTGTATCTTGTAACTTGTAGAGATAATCCCGATGGCAGCTATCATACAGCTAAACTGGGATGTCTGTGCAACGTGCTGGCATAGTGACAGTGCATGAAGTAATTCAAAACGGTGAATGATGTCTATTATTTACAATAAAACAGTGGACGTGCAAGTAAAAACCAAGACGTGGAGTCTACAGTAGCTTGGACCTAACAGGAGGAGGCAACGCTCTGATGATGGGTAGAGCAGCCTCCTGGAAGGTGGTCACTGTTGGAGATATTACCGCAGCAGCTGATAATCAGATATGATTATTTACATCTTTTGTTTTGTTTTGTACTCTTTTATATGAAAGTTTTGTACTCTTTTATATGACAGCGTATTGCAACACCAGACTTTACGATGGAAGGAGAGGACGAAGAGACTAAGAGAGAAGTCTACTATGAGACACTTGCAGAGAAAGTCCCAGCAGAATTCAGAGATTATGACTTTGACAAACTTATCCGCAATCGAATGGAAGTAGAGCAATTCAGAAAATTCCTAGGTAAATGCTACACAAGTGTTCTTCCCTAACATTCCCTTTTTATAAACCACCCAGAAGCAAGTGCAATTTGCTCAGAAAATTGATTTCAATTTAGATTCAAATTCAATTACATTGTATTCCAGACAAACTTATCCTGAATCGAATGGAAGTAGAGCAATTCAGAAAATTCCTAGATAAATGCTACACAGGTGTTCTTTCCTTACATTCCCTTTTTTATATATCACTCAGAAGCAAGTGCAATTTGCTCAGGAAATTGATTTCAATTTAGATTCAACATTCAATTACATTGTATTCCAGCAGTAAATACAAGGTATACATCAAGACCAATTTTGCTGTTGAAAAATGAAAACCTTATGTGTAGATTGGGTAAGCCTATAAAATGTTTTGTCATTATTTGTTTTAAATACATTTCTAGCAAGATATTAACAAGTATATAAACAAGTATATAAACAAGTATATAAACAAGTATATAAACAAGTATATAAACAAGTATATAAACAATTATATACACAAGTATATAAACAAGTATATAAACAAGTATATAAACAAGTATATAAACAAGTATATAAACAATTATATACACAAGTATATAAACAAGTATATACACAAGTATATAAACAAGTATATACACAAGTATATACACAAGTATATAAACAATTATATACACAAGTATATAAACAAGTATATAAACAAGTATATAAACAAGTATATAAACAAGTATATAAACAAGTATATAAACAATTATATACACAAGTATATAAACAAGCATACAAACAAGCATATAAACAAGTATATAAACAAGCATATAAACAAGCATATAAACAAGTATATAAACAAGTATATAATCAAGCATATAAACAAGTATATACACAAGTATATAAACAAGTATATACACAAGTATATACACAAGTATATACACAAGTATATAAACAATTATATACACAAGTATATAAACAAGTATATAAACAAGTATATAAACAAGTATATAAACAAGTATATAAACAATTATATACACAAGTATATAAACAAGCATACAAACAAGCATATAAACAAGTATATAAACAAGCATATAAACAAGCATATAAACAAGTATATAAACAAGTATATAATCAAGCATATAAACAAGTATATAAACAAGTATATAAACAAGCATATAAACAAGTATATAAACAAGTATATAAACAAGTATATAAACAAGTATATAAACAAGTATATAAACAAGTATATACACAAGTATATAAACAAGTATATACACAAGTATATAAACAAGTATATACACAAGTATATAAACAAGTATATACACAAGTATATAAACAAGTATATCCACAAGTATATAAACAAGTATATCCACAAGTATATACACAAGTATATAAACAAGTATATAAACAAGTATATAAACAAGTATATAAACAAGTATATACACAAGTATATACACAAGTATATAAACAAGTATATACACAAGTATATAAACAAGTATATAAACAAGTATATACACAAGTATATAAACAAGCATATAAACAAGCATATAAACAAGCATATAAACAAGTATATAAACAAGCATATACACAAGTATATAAACAAGTATATACACAAGTATATAAATAAGTATATACACAAGTATATAAACAAGTATATCCACAAGTATATAAACAAGTATATCCACAAGTATATACACAAGTATATAAACAAGCATATAAACAAGCATATAAACAAGTATATAAACAAGTATATAAACAAGTATATAAACAAGCATATAAACAAGCATATAAACAAGTATATAAACAAACATATAAACAAGTATATAAACAAGCATATAAACAAGCATATAAACAAGTAAATAAACAAGCATATAAACAAGTATATAAACAAGTATATAAACAAGTATATAAGTTTGTTTCTGTGCATTTGCTTCCTGACAGTATTGGGATGCTAGTACCGGTATACAAATATACACGGTCTTGACAGGTTCTGGTTAAAACTATGCACAAGAGGTGACTCCAATAGTACTATTTGCTTATGGGCACAAATGGTACTTTTGGAGTCAGAGAGGTCCATAGTTTTAACCAGTACCTCAAATAGGAGGCATGGTATTTTTGTTTTATATCCTGCATCAAAAATTTATTTTTAAAAAAAATTAATAAATAATACAATTTTGGGGGAAAAAATAAAATAAAAAACAAAAAAATGTCAATTTCTATCGAAAAAGATTTGAAATATTTTGTTTTCATAAAATTAAGATTTGAAGAAGAAAAAAAATCAATTAAAAAGAAAAAATTCAACTCCCCAAATAGTAGTAGTACTTTTTCAAAGCAACCTTAAAATAGTTGAAATATTTCTGGTCACATGACGAGCTCTCAACCAATCAAAAACCAATACATTTTTGATGCATGATATAAAATCGTCTATTGACCATATACTTTGAACATCAGAGGAGAACTATGCGTTGAAGGATCTGATGTGCTGGCTTGACATCGAGTCATTCCGTCGTACTCCACACCTGGACACCAAGAAGCGAGATACAAAGGCCACTGAGATCAAGACCAAGTACCTCAACAAAAAGTACTTCTTTGGTCCAAACAGTCCTGCAACCAGAATGCAACAGCATGAGGTATGACGTTCATGTGTGTAGCCGGCAAGAGTTGATGTTCCTGTCACTTAAAACGAAAATACAAAAATTATCTAATGAAGGAATTTCTATCTTATGTTTAATTTAATTAGCCTGTACTCACTTGTTTATTTATTTACTACTCATTATTTCTTTTCTCTTTACTTTGTATTACCTGTATTATCTGCGGACATTGGAGCCCAGCCTTTTAGAGGCCAATGGCCTCTGCTGGCTCCTCCATATTCTTTGTATTATTTATATATTTGCTTATATGTATAATGTATTGTTAAATGTATTTTTTAAGAGAAATGGAAATAAAATGAATTGAGCTTTAAATAGATGAATGTTTTTCACATTTCATCATTATCTATTCTTAATACCAGTAGACATACAGTCCTTTAATTGTTGGTGGGATTTCCAGGGACTTTGCCTTTTGTAGAAGTTCTTCTGTGGCATAACGTATGATGCATTCAGTTAATATTAAATCAGGATTAAATTTCCATATTCCTTCATTGTGACTATGTAGTAGGAATGAAAGTGGAGATGGTAACACACATTGAGTGATTTCAAGTTGGGTGTTAGTGTTAGTGTTAGTGTTAAGAGCAGTCAAGAGCTCTTAAAATCAAGCGAAAAATTTGCTGATGAAATTAAGAGCCTGATACCGATATCAAAATCGATAGCTTAACACCAGCTGTGACGTCACCACATTCTTGATTTCACGACGATGACTTAAAAATAGTACATCAAAACTAAAGATATCATGAAAAGTACAGAATAAATTTACACCTATTTCTCTGGTCTTATAAAATAACTCATTTTACACAAAAGAATATATGAATTACCTGTTTCACATAGTTTTATTTGATCATCAGACAATAAATTGGCGTCGTTTGTGTGTTGACTGTTGTGCGGTACAACACTAACACCGAACTGGAAATCAACATTTGCTTAATCCCTAGGGGCTAGTGTTAGTGAATAGGACATTTGTACGTAAAATATTAACACCTGCCACAAAGGTCGGTTCAGCAGACGACAATTTTGCAAAATTGATAACACTATAGCTACCGGAAGTTGACGATATGAGAGCCTTTACACAAGCTGATTTCCATTTCGGTGATTAGGCTGGTGTTAGTGTTTATTAAACACTAACACCAGCCTTAAACACCCAACTTGAAATCACTCACTGTATGTGGTGAAATCTGACGGCAGGTGATCCAATGGTCAAGTCTTTAGAAGCTTCGATATATATCCTAATTGGTATTATTACCAAAATGTTACTGAAATAACTTGGTGTTGTTGATTGCTTTTTGTTCCTAACACAGAGAAATCATGACGGGATGAGCCATTGCATATGCTGGACTTTAGCTATGGAGTCAGTTGTCACAGGACATTCAAAAAATTAAAAGTTTTACATTGCTTTAAAAATTACCTTGAAAACTAATCTTTTCGAAATTGCTTTCCAGCAGATCTTCTTGTATTTTTTAAGTTGTCTCATTTTCTTGTACTTTCATGTTCCTCTTTTGTGCCTAAAGCCTCGGTCACAAATGCCATTACGAACTGCTACGAACGCCGTACGAACGATTTTCAGACAATGGAAATTCGGAAAGACAATGGAAAAACAGGGAGATTCGTACGAACGAACCTTTGTGACCGTAGCTTTAAGCACGCTATTCATGTTGAGATGGCGCAATATAAAAAAAAAATGGATACTATTATTATTATCATTCTTGTTATTAGGCAATGATGGCAGGAGGAGGGTGGGGTAAACTGCTTCAAGATCGCCCCCCTAATCAGATAATGGTGGAGGCTCAGAAGTATGTGAGGGAGCGTCTAGCTCGTAAATGGCTCCCTCTATTTATCATGACGGAGACGTTCCAAGACAGACAGCGCCCTCATATCAGACTGGAAGACGTGGTGGATGATGTCATGGCTAATAAACGCAAGAGATACATGGCTATATACAAGGTACACTTTCTCCCTTTATTAACCCTATTATTATTATTACTTATACCACGCTTTTCCCATAAGGCCCAAAGCGCTTACAGTGAATAAACATAAAAATTACATAAATACATATAATTAATAAAACAGTCTTGCAACTACAAACTACAAAAAAGATGTGTTTTTAAGGTCTTTCTGAAGGTAATAACTGATGGAGACTGCCTAATTCTAAGTGGGAGATCATTCCAGTATTTTGAGGCAGACACATGCCCTATCACCGGCTAATGTTCGGATAACTGAATATGTGAGAAGGAGACTGCCCTGGCAGGTGTTTATAAATTCAAACAGGTATCTACCGGGTAAATATTGTGGAGCTTGATTATTGAGTATTTTGAATACAAACAAAAGTAATTTAAAAATTATTCTTTGTTGCACACATTTTTCTTACCAACCTGTTTAACTATACAGGTACCTAGCTTACCTCTGTTTATCAGCATCCTTGGTGCTATTTAATGATTATTTTGTTTACATTTTGTTACCTCTTCTTTCTTTCTCCTCTTTCGTGTGATAGTACATGCATGTATGTATGGTTATCTTGTGATTCCTAAAGTTGCAAAAACTAGGAGGGGGGGGATCCTTTCAGTGCTCACGCGTGTCCTACTTAATGGAATAGCCTTCCTGAAGACATCAGAAAGTGTCAAACCTCTGATTCCTTTAAAAATCATGTAAAAATGCTTTTTGATTATGAATTATTTCTACATGCACCTTGAGCACTCCACATTGTAGATTTGGTGCCATATAAGTTTCATTTATTATTATGATTATTATTATGTGTGTATAAATGGACTTTCCAGATATCTTGTAATGGATATTTATCTCAAGAAATCAAAGGTCATTCATTTGGAAATATGTATGCTTACGCTGATCCCTTAAGAGACATTTGGCAAAAGGACTCCAAACAATGTTTGATACATAATTGTACAATGATTTATTCATTTGAATTATTACCCCTTTCTTCGAATGTTTAGCTACTTCAAAGTCGTTTGATACATCAGGCCTAATCAAAAAAGATGTTGTATTGCCCTTTAAGTGCTAAAACATGGTCGGTTAGTCTGAAATCTTTTTTTAAATTTTTTTTTAAATTTTTTTTATTTACTCCCTCTTTTGGCTGATATTTCTTAATTGTGAATGCTTTACCGGTAATACATTTTTTTTCTCCAAAAAAAAGGTTAATTTTTTTTTTTTTTTTCAAGCCGACCATAGATTTCAAGATGTTTGGGTCGATCGCAAAGGGCAATACAATTATTTTTTTTTAGGCCTCATTGTACAATGATTTATTCATTTGAATTGTTACCCCTTTCTTTGAATGTCTAGCTACTGGAGAGTCGCTTTGTGTCATCCTCTCATGAGATCATTGCATTACGCCAAGCTTTAGTCAACCCCATCACATGCCAACATTTCAGAAAGTACGTCAGCCTCAAAGGAGAAAACCTGGAGAATGACGTTCTCTTCTGGATCGAGGTCCAAAAGTTCAAGGTAAGCATTATATCTGAGATTTAATCTGGTAAAATTTGTGCAGGAAAAAAATGAATGTGTTCTTTAGTATTGGAAAATCAAAATGACACTATTTTGTTCTGAAAATTATGTAGTGGAGATAGATAGTAAAGAACAAAGAATATGTTAGTGATTACGGGTGGGGGAGGGTCCTCACTTAAGAAATAGATAGATGTCATATAGATTACCAAAGCTCTGACATAAAAATCCATTTTTGAAATTTCTCAATTTTTTCTTCATTTTCCAACAGAGCATAAAAATAATGTCCAAATGTCAAAAACCAATTGAATATGTAAGTATTGGCTGAGATATGACCATCTGAATAAATCTTGTAATGTTATGAACCAGAGCACTATAACACTGAGTTCCTATAGGAAATCTATTTATTCAGATGGTCATATCTCAGCCCATACTTAACATATTCAATTGGTTTTCTACATTTGGACATTATTTTTGATGCTCTTTCAAAAAAGGAAGAAACAATTGAGAAATTCCAAAAATTGATTTTTGATGACGTCACACTTCACCACTCTATACCTGTCTAGCGTTGTGTAGAGCTAGTATCAATTAAAAAAAAAGGAAAGGTCAAATGTGAAAAAACATTTCAAATTTCATATCATGTTTTATAATCTTGATTTAAGGAAAATTGTTTAAAGGACTGTCCCATATCCCTTATCCCTCCTGGCCAAACTAGTGCAGTGGGGCTTTAAGGGAACCCATTCCTGTACAAGGCTTAGCATCAGATTTTTGTCCGTGTTTAATCCGAGTAGGAGATGTACCATGTGCATAGTGAAGAGGTCCTAATACACCAGAAGATTCAAGCCATCTTACGATGTTTTATCAACTCTGAGATGGGATCCAGTCTACAGATTGATATCACTCCAGAACAAGCAGAGAAGATCCTTGATAAGCGTATGAGGGAAATGGGACCTTATGTCTTCAGAGATGCTCAGGTATATATTATGAAATAATAATAATAATAATAATAATAATAATAATAATAATAATAATAATAATAATAATAATAGGCATTTGTATAGCGCCGTCTATCTAGACAATGTTTTCCGAGGCGCACAAGAAAAATCAGGCCTGATAAAAACCAGATTTAAATCGGTTTTCCAATTTTTTTTTTTTTTTTTTTTTTTTTTCCAGATTAAAAAAAATAAATTCCCTATTTTATCCTGATTTTCCAGATTTTCCCCTTATTTTCTCTATTCTTTCCTATTTTGCCCTATTTTTGTCCCAATTTTCTTACTCGAAAGGGGGGAATGTTGTTAGATGCCATTTTTTCGCTTTTTTTTTTACTTAAGGGGGGCGTGGTTGAGGGGCAAACAAAAAACCTATTTGTTTTTTAGTGCTCACTATCACCCCTGAAAAATAGAAAGAGTGAGAAAGTTTGGATGAGTGTCATAGTGCCAAATACAGGTATTGTTAAAAAAGATAAGATTTAAGGAAGTAATGATTCTCAAATTAAATGGTAAATTATTCCAAAGACCAGGTGCTGCAGATGTAAAAGCCCTTTCACCACAGGCTACTCGTGTCTTTGAGATCTTAAGAAGATGCTGGTGTGATGATCTTAGACTATGAGCTGGTGTATAAGACAACAAGGTTTTGTAGATAGGGCATTGAAGTTTGATTTTTAGGTTTGTTTTTATTTCTGTAATCAGAGAAAACATGAATAACATAGCTCTGTCTTGACATATATATTTCTAGTGAATTCACCAACAATGGATAACACTGCTTCTCTATTAAAGATACAGATATACACCTTAAATAAATCATGATTTAACATTTACAATTTTGAAGTTGGGGATCATTTTGTGACAATGTACATTTTTTAGTTATCAGTACCATACCATAACTCTTTACTTTTCTCTTTCCCTATTCCTCTGTGTCTGTCTGTCTTCCCTCTTTCTCTCTCTCTCTCTCTCTCTCTCTTTTGCTCTCTCTCTCTCATTCTCTCTCTCTCTCTCTCTCTCTCTTGCTCTCTCTCTCTCTCTCTTGACACGCATTTGAATGATGGCAGAAGTTAACCTCTCTATATCTTATTTTTTGTATCATGCTCTATTACAGTTGACAGTGTTCCGGGTACTTTCCAGTCACTGGAAAGATTTTCAGAAATATAGAACCAGCCTCTCAGAAGAGAAAATGCTAGAAGAACTTGATAGAAAGCGGAGCAAAATGAGAAAGAAGGAGTTGGAGAGAGCACGTATTGAAGATGAAAAAGTGAGTTTTCATGTTGGTACTAAAAGATGGTGATGGTCAGGATATTGATGATGATGTTTGAGATGATTATACAAATAATACACAGCAGTGAGGGCATTAGTAAGAATTCCTTGCACAAGGTACCTTTTTAACAGTCTGTGAGCTCCTTTATGAATTTCTAGATATGCCACTAGAGGTACATGTATGCAGAAGCTGGGTATAGGATTATAGATCAAATTTTTGTTCACATCAATTGTTCATAGTTGGCTAAGTCGGTAAAGCGTCTGTCTGTCAAACCAAAGATCTCTGGTTCGAATCCAACCCAGGCAGATAACTAAAGCCTGCGTTGTGTGTTGACGTGCCCCTCCCTTTGTTTCATAGACACAGGTTAAGTGGAAAATACTTTGTCCCTCGGATAGGACGTAAAATGGGGGCCCTGTGTAGAGGAGAGTCACCATCTTTGCATGTTAAGAACCCACTGAACTATCAGTATAAGTGTAGGGGGAACCCCGGTGTAGTGGCCCACCTCCACACCCCCAATCAGCTATACCAGGAGGAGAGACCCAAGGGCTACAGTGATTCAGTTTGTTTTTTGCCTCCCAGGCACAGGTGATGCCAAATACTTAATAATGAAATAATAATAATAATAGTTAGCAGAACACTTGCGATTACTGCCTGATTTGCACTTTGATCCAATTCACGATTAAAACGTGATTGCAAAAAAACAATATTCATGAGGGTTTTTTTTTTATTTACCTAGAGTTCACTCATGCAGAAAATATTGTCACTACCTTTTGTGAGATCCGATTGAATACACGCTTGCCCATAATTTTGTTTTTTCATAAAATCATGCACATATTCTGAAAGTATTATTTTGGAAGATATTTTCTAAGTGTTTATTTGTTTTGATTATCTGTTGTAGTGATGATATTGCTAATGAAGGTGATGATAAAGGTAGAGTGATGCTGGTATCCAAATGATGAAGATGATGATGCCGCTGATGGTGAAAGTGATGCTAGTGATGACAGTGATGATGATGACGATGATAGTAATGATGATAAACCATGAAAGTGATGATGGTGATTATGATGATGATGATGATGGGGATGATGATGGTGATTATGATGATGATGATGATGATGATGATGGGGATGATGATGGTGATGATGATGGTGATTATGATGATGATGATGATGGGGATGATGATGATGGTGATGGTGATGATGATGGTGATTATGATGATGATGATGATGATGATGATGGGGATGATGATGATGATGATGATGATGATGGGGATGATGATGATGAAAATGGTGACAAAGATGATAGTGATGACGATAATGATGACGGTGATAGCGATGATAGTGATGATGAAAGTGATAGTGGTGATTATAATAATGACGATGATTAGGACGATGATAGTGATGGAGGTTGTGGTGATGACGATAATGATGACGGTGATAGCGATGATAGTGATGATGAAAGTGATAGTTGTGATTATGATAATGACGATGATGAGGACGATGATAGTGATGGAGGTTGTGGTGATGACGATAATGATGACGGTGATAGCGATGATAGTGATGATGAAAGTGATAGTTGTGATTATGATAATGACGATGCAATCCCACTTCTGCAATTATTGTCAAGATATACAAAATAGCCACAACGACTCTCATAAATGAGTTTTACAGACTTTTATTTGACAACTACACCAACATCTAAATTCATAGACATCTGCTGTTACAGAAATATTACATATACGTACGGTCATTTAATTACTCCAATACCCAAAAGTGTAATCCCGTCTAAAGTTAATTTCCCAATTCATATAAATCTGCTGTTACACAAATATTACAAATACGTACAGTCATTTAATTATTCCAATACCCACGAGTGTAATTCGTACAAGTTAACTTCCCAGTTTTTAAAGTGTCCGAAATTAAGACAATTGTCCGAAATAAGGCGAAAGCCTTTTGCTTGGTATTTGCTATATCAAAAGATCAAATACCGACATAGTTCCTACGACGATTCGATGCTTGAAGACTCGTGAAGGTTGATATCCCGTAATCGCTTGTTACGGCAATCGGTCACGTGCTTCAAGATCCCGGATATACTGACTCGGCGGTTCTCGGATGCTAATTCGACGATCCGATGCTTGGATGCTAATTCGACGATTCGATGCTTGGATGCTAATTCGACGATTCGATGCTTGGATGCTAATTCGACGATTCGATGCTTGGATGCTATTTCGATGACGCTCAGCGTGCTACTAGTTAGTAGTGAAGAACGTTCTTGTCCGCTCTTACGGATATAAATGAAATTATCAATATATCCTTCAAAATACATGATATTTAATTTCTACGGTTTCAACACTTATTTATAATACTCATTTTCGAATAAAGCAAACGATGAAATAATAAAGGTTATTTCACCAGACTTTCTTTATCCGGTTATAACAAAACCAACATTCCACTACACTTTCATTTCATTATTAACTAGGGTCACCAATCTAACTGACCCGGGCAAAAATAGATTTAATTGCTATGTCAGAAGATCCAAAACCGACATGGTTTCTACGAGGAATAGAACCCTGGAGACTTGTGTCGGAAGGATGATGACCCACAAACTTAATCAATCATTATAAGAATTCCGTTATGTCAATAAAAATTCGTTAGAGAAATTAAGTCATTTCTAGCACAATAATTTCAATAATAACTTGTTTCTCATCATTACTACTAGGTTGTACTGCGTTAATTCATTAACACAAAATAAAATGTTCTTTTACATATAATTTCAAAATGTATGCATGAAGCGTTAAAGCATTTATATCAATAAACGTATATAATTATCCCTATCGAACGACGCTCAGGAGAACGATATTTCATGAACGGCTCTTTCGTCACGTGTTCGTGAATAATTACTTTTGATACACATACGAGCTAATTTGCTCTAACATGGTGCTTCTTGCACACTGTAAACATGTAAATTATCTGAATCTCATTATCACACATAGGTTATGTATAGAAAGCTACTTACAGTTATGTTGACAAAATTGTGCCAATGGCAGGAAAATCGAGGTTCTGGGCTACATGGAGGATACCTCTCATACCGGTGTCGCCTGAGGAAAAGGACTGCTTGCGCCGAATACAAAATCAAGGCTCTGGTAGCAACTTCCACAACACACATAAGGGTACCTGTTCAAGACCTCTCACACGTCCAGCTACAACCTCGTCTTCTAGTCAACTGCACTGATTTAAGTCCACACGTACACACCTTTAAGCATTCTCGGCACCACACCCTAATTTGCATATATTCAGACAAGCGAAATATTTTCTATCACTAACGCCCTCTAATGTCTAGATGACCTTGAAAATAGGAAAACAAATAAAATAAGAACAAATTTCCCATTTTACTCTGACAATTTACCCCCTTTTTCAGAAAATATTTTGGGACTCTAACATTAACCAACACAAAATGTGTACTTCTACATTCCCTTTATATTCAGCAAATACGACTCATATAGTCTGCTCCTACGTTTTCTTTACCCTTTATCGCTTGTACGCGATATCTGTAAGACTGTAAGGCAAGCGCCCATCTGAGTACACGTCCGTTCGCGAGCTTCCCTCGACGAAGAGCGCGAAGAGGTTCGTGGTCAACCTCGAGTACGAATTCCCTACCGTAGAGATAGGCTTCGAATTTTTGTACTGCCCAGACTACAGCAAGACACTCTCGCTCGATGGTAGAGTATCTCGTTTCTCGATCCAACAACTTTCTACTTGCAAACGCCACCGGAAACTTTTCATCGTCGAACTCCTGTAATAAGACTGCACCTATACCAGTCTCGGAGGCGTCAGTTCGAAGTATGAATGGGCGGTCGACATCAGGCAGATGCAAGATTGGAGCATTTGAGATCTTGCTCTTGAGACATCGAAAAGCTCTCTCTTCAGTCTCTCCCCACTCTACGGTGTTTGATTTGCCTTTCTTCGTCAGATTCGTCAGGGGTACGGCTATTTCTGCGAAGCATGGTACGAACTTCCGATAGTAACTCGCTAGGCCGAGAAATGACCTCAGCTGTCGTTTCGTTTCGGGCCTTGGTGCTTCTTGTACCGCCTGAATCTTATTCGTCATCGGTTGGAGCTTTCCACCACCAACCCTATGTCCCAAGAAATCTAGAGACTCTTGAGCAAGACTACACTTGCTCGGCTTTGCCTTCATATTGGCTGTGCGTAAGCGACTTAGGAGTTCTTTCAGAACCTCAAGATGTTTCTCCCAAGAAACTGTGTGTACCAAGATATCATCAATGAAGTTATGAACTCCATCAAGATCACGAAGTAAAGTTCGCATAACTCTACTAAAGGTGGCCGGGGCATTAATCAAACCAAATGGCATTGTCTTGAATTGGAAAAGGCCATTAGGGGTGATAAAGGCTGTACGGGGTTTGGCATTCTCAGTAAGGGGAATTTGCCAGTATCCTTTAGTGAGATCCAGTTTGCTGAAGTAGTGATCCTTCGCTAACGCAGTGAAGATTTCCTCTTGGTCCGGTATGGGCTCTGCGTCTGATACTGTGTTCATATTCAGCTTACGGTAATCACAGCAAAATCGGTTAGACCCGTCCGGCTTCTTGACTAAAACCACCGGAGAGGCATATGGGGATGATGATGGCTCAATCACCCCAAGCTCGAGCATCTCTTTGACTTTGTCACCAACCACCTGTCGGAGAGCGTGAGGAAGAGGATAGGGCTTGGACTTTACCGGTCGAGGATCTGTCAACTTGATGTCGTGGTGACCCAAACTGGTCACACTAGGAACATCTGTAAAAACGTCCGAATAATTACCGATAAGTCGCCTCAGCTGACTATTCTGCTCCTCAGAAAGTGTGTCTCCGATGCAGACATCAGCAACTGTCTGAGTCTGTCTCAGGCTGGGGACTTCGATGAGTTGCTCGTTTACCCTCATCTTGGTTGTCGTCTGTGCATCTTCGTCATCATTGACCTCGTCAATTTCTTCAATGACAGATACACCTGCTACTGCTGGATATTTTATTCCAGCATCTGAATTATTATCGTCTCGACGATAATAAGCCTTGGGAAGATTCGCATGGAAAGTAGTTATCCTTGACCCAAGGTCAACTCTGTAGTCGAGTTTACCAACTCTACCTACTACCTTGAAAGGGCCTTTCCAGTGCATCAGTAACTTATTCCTGTCTGTAGGAAGTAGTAGTAACACCTCATCTCCAACCTTGAAAGACCTAGCCTTGGCTTTCTTGTTGTACTGCGCTCGATACGCAGACTGCGATTTCGTCAGTTGCTCTTTCACAAGCTTGACTGTATTTTCCAACTTCTCACGCAGATCCATCACATACTGGTATGTGGTTTTTGTCTCAGCATCCGTGCTTTCATCATTTGCCCAAAGTTCCCGCAGGATCATCAAGGGGCCCCTCACCGCTCGTCCATAGAGAAGTTCGAATGGAGAGAATCCTGTGCTGTCGTGAGGTGCTTCGCGATATGCGAAGAGGAGTGCATCTATATATCGATCCCAGTCAGTGGGTCTCTCCTCCGCCATCTTCTTAAGCATCTGTTTAAGCGTCCCGTTAAACTTCTCAACGAGACCATTACAGGCCGGATGATAGGGAGTTGTAGTAAGGTGGCGTACTGACATTAGCCTATTCACTTCTTGCATCACATCTGACACGAACTGTGTCCCACGGTCGGTTAACATCTCACGGGGAAATCCAACTCTAGTGAAGATGCTGAAAAGAGCTTCCGCTACGGACACTGTATCTATGTTCTTAAGTGGAACAGCTTCAGGATACCTTGTCGCGTAGTCCATGAGCGTCAGTATATACCGACAACCTCGTGACGTCATAGGAGCGATAGGGCCAACAATGTCAACGGCCACACGGTGAAATGGCTCATCAATTAAGGGAGTAACCCCCAATGGTACTTTCCTTACCGTACCCTTGTACACTGGGCGCTGGCACACATCACACGACCTACAAAATCGAGATGTGTCCGCTCTTACACCACCCCAGAAGAAATTCTGTAAGATTCTTTCTGCGGTTTTATGTGATCCTAGGTGCCCACCCAATAGACACTCATGTGCAAGCCGCAGAATCTGTCCTCTGAATTTACAAGGAACAACTAGCTGATGGTTGACATCACCTGATGCGGATTGGAACTCGCGATATAACAATCCTTGTTTTCTTCGAAAGAGTGACCGGTTCCCATTTCTAGTCGTCTTGACTACTCCCGATTCGGCTTGCTCTCGTATACGCCCCAACGTTGCATCATTAGCTTGCTCTTTTCGGAACTCTTCAGCGGTAGCAACGTCAGTCTGCTTTGGTACCTTCAACTTTTGGATAGGTTTGCTTTCTTTCTTCCGCTGATTTCTTGTCTCTACAGCTAGACATGTATCACCATTCCAGTCTTCGTCCGGATCATTCGGTTCTCGAACACCTGGAATATTCCCAAGAACTACATCATAGATAGGATTATCCACACACAATGCTTCCACCTCACCAATGAAGAAGGGTGAGTCAAGCGTTACCTTAGCAACGGGGAACGTCCTCATAGTACGATCTATCATGAGGCACCTCCTCTCTTCCCCAGCAAATTGGTCTGGCTTGATAAGTCCCATCTTCACAAATGTTGTGGAACATCCGCTATCCCTCAAGACTTTGACACGCGTGCCGTTGATGATCCCTTCTTTGACTGGCATAAGCTGGAGGGGTTTAGCTCCACCAGCACCACTAACTATCGGCAATGCCAACTCCGATTGTATCTCAGTGACTTCTCCTTCTACATCTGTACATGAGAAACAAGACATTATTACCAAACATGCATTAACATCGTACATTTCCGACTCATGACGATTCACCCTTCTTTTATCCCGACCAGTCGACTCCTGGAGTGAATCTGTATCTCTGTCATGGACCTGTCTCTGAGGTTGCTTCGGCATGCTCGACGTCCTGTCCGATTCACTCTGAATCTCAGCTCCCGCAGCTGCAACCTCTTTCCTCTTCCGTTGCGTGCAATGCTTTGCCTGATGCCCTAGTTTCCCACAGATAAAACAACCACCAGGACGGCTTTGCGACCTGTCCGATGGTTTCGAGCCTGCTGGTTTCGAGCCTGCATGCAGAGGAGGAGAAGTGGGTTTAATGGTGTGTGACTTACCAGTCCCACCCTGCCATCCCGATCTTGCTTCTACAAAGCAGTCGGCAATCTCTATGACTTCCTTGAGTCCCTTCGGCTTTCGTTCCTTTATGAAAGTCTCCATATCTTTCGAGCAGGTAGTGTAAAACTGCTCTATAAGGAACAGCTCCACTACATCGGTGAACGTCTTCTGGCGTCCCGACATCTCAATCCATTTATCAACATAACTCCTGAGCCTAATGATAAATTGCTCGGCTGTCTCACCCGAATCAGGTTTCGAACTCCGAAATTTCTTTCTGAAACCGTCACTAGTAAGCGAGTACCGCTGCAATATCGCTGTCTTCACTACATTATAATCTTGAGCATCGTCTTCACTCAACCGGGAGTAAGTATCCAAGGCTTTTCCCGTTAACAGAGCACTTAAATTTACAGCCCAAACATTTGACGGCCACTTTTGCGCAACCGCATAACGTTCAAATCTAAGTAAATAAACATCTAATTTGTCTTTACCACAAACAAATGAGGGAAGTTTAGGGGGACGAATATTATGAGTACTGTTACTCCTATCCTGGTTACCTCGTTGCTCAAGCTTTACACTTTCTATTTTCAACCTAATTTCTGCCAATTCTTTTTCCTCCTTCAATTGCTCACGCTCTTCTGCTCTCTTATCCCTCTCTCTGTCCTGTTCTACCTTTAAGAAATCCCTTAATTCTAAACCTGTGAGTCCCAAAGATTCCCCAATCGTTACTAACTTTTCAACATCCATGTCAAACACTCACAGTCATTCACATGAGAACTTACCACCAGAGCCAGAAACAATTTAGCAGCGCGTGGAGAGCGACGATGTGGAAGGCGAACGTGCACCAGTCACCAGGTATCCTGCATGTACCTCCAGTTGATTACCTCTAACCTGTAATACAGTAGGTAACATACAAAGAAAATATTATACAGAAACATATGCACACTATAGATATTAAATGCAAGTTCCAGAAATATCCTATAGTCGTTCAAATATTAGAAATCCCAGCTATAATAACATACCCTATTGTAATCCTAACAATTTTAATTTTTTTTCGCCGGTCCTGGCAAGGTCGCCAATTATTGTCAAGATATACAAAATAGCCACAACGACTCTCATAAATGAGTTTTACAGACCTTTATTTGACAACTACACCAACATCTAAATTCATAGACATCTGCTGTTACAGAAATATTACATATACGTACGGTCATTTAATTACTCCAATACCCAAAAGTGTAATTCGTACAAGTTAACTTCCCAGTTTTTAAAGTGTCCGAAATGAATACAAGTGTCCGAAATGAATACAAGTGTCCGAAATGAATACAAGTGTCCGAAATGAAGACAATTGTCCGAAATAAGGCGAAAGCCTTTTGCTTAGTATTTGCTATATCAGAAGATCAAATACCGACATAGTTCCTACAACGATTCGATGCTTGAAGACTTGTGAAGGTTGATGTCCCGTAATCGCTTGTTACGGCAATCGGTCACGTGCTTCAAGATCCCGGATATACTAACTAGTAGCAAGCATCGAATCGTCGAAATAAGCATCCAAGCATCGAATCGTCGAATTAGCATCCAAGCATCGAATCGTCGAATTAGCATCCAAGCATCGGATCGTCGAATTAGCATCCGAGAACCGCCTAGTCAGTATATCCGGGATCTTGAAGCACGTGACCGATTGCCGTAACAAGCGATTACGGGACATCAACCTTCACAAGTCTTCAAGCATCGAATCGTTGTAGGAACTATGTCGGTATTTGATCTTCTGATATAGCAAATACTAAGCAAAAGGCTTTCGCCTTATTTCGGACAATTGTCTTCATTTCGGACACTTGTATTCATTTCGGACACTTGTATTCATTTCGGACACTTGTATTCATTTCGGACACTTTAAAAACTGGGAAGTTAACTTGTACGAATTACACTTTTGGGTATTGGAGTAATTAAATGACCGTACGTATATGTAATATTTCTGTAACAGCAGATGTCTATGAATTTAGATGTTGGTGTAGTTGTCAAATAAAGGTCTGTAAAACTCATTTATGAGAGTCGTTGTGGCTATTTTGTATATCTTGACAAGGACGATGATAGTGATGGAGGTTGTGGTGATGACGATGATGAGGACGATGATAGTGATGATATTGATGATGGTGATATCCACTTTATTCTTTTATTCCTGCTAGGACTTTGCCAAACAGAATGCACCAAAGGAAGACGAGCACCTCTCTGCTATAGCTAGCAGTCTGAATTCAAGACGTATGTCAACCCGTCTCTCTAGCATCATACCAGGATTCCTGGAAGAAGAGGAAGAAGAAGAAGAGGAGAAAGTACTCTGGAAGTATTCTGACTACGTGCAAGGGATTGAGAGGGAGAAGCAGCTACTCAATGGTGATGATAGAGCCTCAAGTCTTATGTCAGGTATGTTTTGTGGATATTTATGATTGTTTTATTTTTTAAACCAGTCAATATCAAGCAAAGACCACATTATTCATGCAGAAATTGAAACTGGCACCGTGTCATCAAAGTGGCATTTTTTGTTCCTACTTTGATGACACGGTGCCAGTTTCAATTTCTGCATGAATAATGTGGTCTTTGCTTGATATTGACTGGTTTAAAAAATAAAACAATCATAAATATCCACAAATTTTTTTTGAAAATGACCATGTAACCGCCTTTTCATGTTGCCGTCTTGCATAGTACCTCTCCTTGAAGTTCCAGTATATGATAGGACATTTAGTCTTTATTCGATTTCCAGTATGTATGATAGAGCAAACTTATTTTTGAAAATGTTTAGGATTTTTCTCAATCGCACACATGCATATTCACAGCTCGCACAGAAAATCATTACAAACTGTCCAAATTTATTAAATTAGTTAAAACAGTTGAAATTGCTTCTAGCCTTTTTCCTACTATTTTATTTCCATTTATTCTCACACATACATGTACTTTATGTTTCATAATGGCCTCAAAACATTTAAAAAATTGATTCTAGACTTTATTGATCATTATGACAGTTAGGGTGTCAGTTTACTTATGTTTGTTGTTGAGTTTATTGGTTTCACATTTCACATATATTTCACAAATATAATACAGATAACAAAATATACATAAAAGACATAATGTTTCATAATTTAAAAAAAAATGATTATAGTAATTAACAAGGTTACATTTTAATATCATTTAAAGGAAAACCCAGACAAAAGTACAAACAGTGAAATGTGCTGGAACCTATAGAAAAGCAGAGCTTGTAAAGAATAGGTTCCTGAGAGACTTGAAAAAATGACAGGGACAGAAAATGTTTACTGTAGAGAGAAGTACACAATTAAAATTAAGACGGCAGTAATTTGACCAATAATTGTTTGGATTTCAATAAAGTACAACACTGAAAAAAAAGGGGGGGGGGGGAAGAAAAAAAACAACACTAAAACGAAGAGAAGTAACCAGCCAATAAATGGCAGAGTATGCACCTATTTCCTCCACATGTTTGCACCACCTGAACGTTTACAAAAATCAAACACTAGAAATCATAAATTATTCATTCCTGTTAAAATTCTCTTATGTCACACAGGCAAAAGAACGCCTAAAATTGCAGGCTTTGGGCACATTAGATTAATTTTATACATTATTTCATCATCATTCCAAATATGTTTACACTTTTTGAAATATTCTAGATATAGATGTTTACTAAATGGCCCCAAAGATATGTTGTGGAAAAGTTTTAACAGGAGTCCTGATAAACATTGATGTGTAGATGTAAACATTCAGATTGATCAGATATGTTTTATTAAAGATAAATTGCAACTGGTAAATTGTTACAAGTACAGTTACAAAAGGGGTAAAAAAAAAATAATGATAATAAATGAAGATAATCTAAGGATTATAAGAAGGTATATTCTTGGAATGCAAATAGATTCTATTCAATTGATGATTAATGTTTATCTTTCAGCTATTGAATGCTTAGCTGAAGATCAATACTTGGCGCACTCGGAGAAAGCTGCTAAGAATTGCCTGAATGAATCTGAAAAACACGGTAAGACCAGAGAGTATTCAAAATTCCATAACTATCGGGGCTTTTTTCATCCGATTTTGATGAGACTTTGACTGTTTGTTTTTTAATTGTTATCTTTTTATTCAATTAAACTTGCAAATGGGCCACTTTGTTGTCTACCTGGTTTGTTCTTTTCCCTTGTGGGGCTCTTGGAATGTGCATTTGCAATCTGTAATAGTAATCAGCTGGATTTATATAGCGCTTGATACCAAATACAGTCTCTAAGCGCTTTACAGATATTATTACCCCGGTCATCGGATTCATTCACGCACAATGTGCACCATCTCCACTCCCTGGGGAGTATTACTACCATATGGTCGCCATGAGGGCATGGGCAATTACTAACACAGATGCTCTGTCATCCTACTGGGTCCCCATTTCTCTCTCGGGTCTTGAGTGGCAAATTTAGATTAATGCTTTGTCAACAGACATTAATTATTGCCATGTCGGGGATAGAACCACAACTTTTTAATTTCCAAGTCATGTGCTTAAACCACTCGACTACAACACTTCTAAGAATAAATCAAAATCAGATATAAGATAAGACTGTGTGTGTTTTTTTTTTCCTTCTTTATTATGCTACCAGTGAAATTCCAGATTGGTTTTATTTGATCTGGGGGGTGTTTCATAAAGCAATTTGTAAAGTTACGCATGCCTTTACGAACGACTTGTATATGAAGTGCCAGATAGGATGCCCAAAATTGTTTCAGATATTTTCAATAACCTCAATTAAATTATGGCAAAAAATATACTTTGCATTAAAACTGTTTGTTATCATAAGAATGTTAATCTACATCTGCACAGTTCAACTTTAGTTGATGTATTTGATAATGATTGAGCATCCCATTTGGCTTTTCATACACAAGTCATTCGTAAAGTCATGCGTAACTTTACGAACAGCTATATTAAACACTCCTCTGCTTTGATTGGTTTCAGGAAAGGGAAAGCTCAAATCTAACATGAAAGAAGTGAAAGGTAGACGTAGCCCTGCTTCCAGCATCAGATCAGACCAGCCATTGCTTAGCAGCTCAGCAGGCCAAGCTGATCCCAAGTATGGTGTCAAGAAACGTGTCACACTCGTTGAGCCAGTTAAACCAGCTCATCTCAGAGGAGGATTGAAGAATGCTGTAGGCCCCAATGGTGACATGGGGTCAAAGGTCAGAGGTCAAGGTAGGCCAAAATCACCCGGTCAGGTCTTACAACCTGTAAAGCCAAAGAAGAAGTGAAGTCAAGATGAATAACAGTATTATTAGGAGTATATGTTATCAGTTCACCAGAAAAGCTGGTCAAAGGTCTTCAATTTTTGTTGTTGTTAGTGTTTCAAGTTTCAAGTTTCAAGTTGTTTTATCTTTCTTTCTTTCATAACACACATTACAAATATGACATGAATAGTGAACAGAATATGGCGTTACAAATAGAAAGATGAGGTGACCTTGGTTGAAAGCAAGGCTTGTGGATTTAAGGTCCCTCATGAGTAGCTTATGAGTCGGTAACGATCGTAGAAATGCTGTCTGATGGAAATCTCTGATATCAAATCTATCTTCTTACCATTATTTTTCTAAAGTTCAGACTGAAAACGCCTTGAATTATGCATTATTTCTAATAACGCCATCTTTTCTCACTCCTGATATTTGTTTTCATTGATGGAAGGAAGGTATGGCGGCAAACTCAAGTGCCTGCTCGCCTGTGTGCTCACTACTCTTGTTTATCTTTGAGGCTGATTTACTCTGAGAATAATTCTCTCTTCATCTTTTTTTATATTTTCTCAAGAATTACCCATGAATGTATATACACTTATATTAGTCTAAAGCTTATTAGAAACAGAATTCACTTTCTGGTGAACTGATATGTCTATGCTTTGAAGAGTTATGTCACAACAGAACATCATATATATAGAGAGAGAGAGAGAGAGGGAGAGGGGGTGGGCAGGAGAGATTTAAACATAACAGGCAGTGAGAGATATAGCCTGGCCCAGAGGAGAAGGGCAATGAGCTGTGAAGGAAACACAGTTTTGCCTACATTACAGGATAATACATTTATAGTTTATGGATAATCATGTACTAGCAATATCAAAGTCATGCAGCTGGTTAGGAAACACAACAGGTTTTTATACAATTACTTCCACTAAGCTTTCTTATCATGAACACATGTGGAATATGCAATGAAATTGGCTGAATTTTTATATATAATATTTTTGTACATATATTTGTTTGAGAGGATGTAAAGTATATTTTCAAAGCCTTTTGAATGAAGTATGTCATTGTGCTTTAAGATCTTCCTAAAGAATTGTTGTTTGTGCTTATTTGATGAAAAATTGCTTGTAAGTCACCTTATCAAATCAATTTTCAATAATCAAAGATTATCCAGTATTTAAGATTTAAAGGAAATGTCAAAAATGTTATCTGATCAGAAGCAGAGTTTAAGCAAAATCAGATATAAGATAAGACTGTTATGATGATTAGAATGACAAGATCCCTACAGTTATGAGATCGCTAATGGTGCGTAAATTATGATGGGAGAACTCTCTATTTTTCTATACACAAAATAAAAGTACTTTTCCCTTTTTTTCACACGCTTTGAGCAGATTGATTAATGTGTGTCATAAAAATGTCTCTTTGTTTATGAAAATCAGGAAAAAGTGTACGTTAATGAATATGACATGGAAATGGTAGAGTTTGTGTGTAGGATCACACATCATGGCTGCATTGCCTGTGGGGAATTCCCTCTTATTGCTGCTTTCATTTTGTATTCACAGATAAAATAAGGAAAGAGAGATTTTGGTGTGTACACATGTACTTTTTATGGTTTACATGCATAAGAAAAATGACCATGTGAGAGCTGTCAAAATATCACCTATGAACATAATTTATTTTTACTTGCGCAATGAACACTTTTTACTACTCGATTCTAAAACCGTTTGGGACCTCTTTTTTGGAGGCTCACACATTGCAGCACGGTAGGCCTACACTCGTTCACAGCACTACACAACAGTACGAAAATACTCTACCCAGAGGTACTTGCTGTACTTGCACTGGAAGAAGAAGAGGACTGTATCACTAAAGTTATCAGAAGGGAATATCTTTACATGTATGATGGCTCTCACACAAATCCAAGTACTTAAACATTATAATAACATTGGAGTAGTATTTTTACATACCGGTAAATGTATATGTATGTATATATATTTATATGGGTGTCATGTCAGAGTTGAGAATTCCCGCACTTTATATTTACACTGTTGCTCATAAAGGTGGAATTTTTTTTTTTTTATTCCAATTTATGGAATTATTTTAAAAATAATGTAAAAATAATAGATCTTGATAATAATATACATTCTCAAATTTTATTGAATAATAATTTGCCAAATATGTGTTTTGCGTGACTGCTAAAGCATGTGTTTGGTACTATGCTTATCAATTAGGGGACCTATGCCCTTAAGTCATAAATGACAGTAATGAGGATTAATGCCCCACAAAAGGGCACTAATATAGCACATCGACACGGTTTTGATCCTGGGGCCTCACAGTTACGAGGCCATTGCTTTGTCACTGAACCATGACTGTACGCAGTGGGGGCTAGGGTAGGGGGCAGTTTCCATAAATTCAAAACAAAAACAGAAAATACAATAAATTTTCAATAATTTATTGCATTTAACCCCGGTGCTTAACATTAAAAGAAATTATGTGTGCCTATGCCTTGAGCCATAATGCATGGCCGTCCAGAGGATTTTTTTATGTTGGGGACCGGGGTAAAATGCAATAAATTATTGAAAATTTATTGCATTTTCTGTTTTTTTTTTAAATTTATGGAAACTGCCCCCTACCCTAGCCCCCGCTGCGTACAGTCATGGTTCAGTGACAAAACAATGGCCTCGTAACTGTGAGGCCCCAGGATCAAAACCGTGTCGATGTGCTATATTAGTGCCCTTTTGTGGGGCATTAATCCTCATTACTGTCATTTATGACTTGAGAGCGTAGGTCCCCTAGTTGATAAGCATAGTAGCATACACATGCTTTAGCAGTTCCGCAAAACACACATTGGCAAGTTATTATTCAATAAAATCTGAGAATGTATACTATTATCTATATCTATTATTTTTAAATAATTTTTAAAATAATTCCATAAATTGGGGTAAAACTAAAATATTCCACCTTTATGAGCGACAGTGTATATGGGTGTATATATATGTATATGGGTGTATATGTATATAAATGATATATTTTCAAGATATTTTGTTTTTGAAATGTGTGGTTTTCCAGGTCTCTGTGGTTTTCCAGGTCCCTGTAACCAAGGCAACCCATTCTGATGCAGACCATTGAACATTATCTATGCAAATGAATCCATTTTGATTAATATCTGATAGAAATTCAAGTACATGACTACAGAAATCATAATAATTATTAGAGTTGCAATATGCCTATGCCCACCCACCGAAGGTAGTGCCGGAGGCATTATATTTTTGGGTTGTCCATCTGTCCGTACGTTCGTTTAACTGTTCAAGCCATGACATTCAGGCGGAGGCATATTAGAGATGCAGAATTTGCTTATTGTCTTGTTGATAATGTTACATGCTAGACAGAGGTATTTCTGCAGAACAGAGGGGCATTTCACAAAGATCCTAAGTTGAACTTAACTCTAAGTTAGACTTAAACATTATAAAGAGTCATTCAAAAGCGTAAATTCACGTATTTTAGACTTTTTATAAATTCCACATCAAGAACATGAAATCCCTGTTGGTAATGGAAAATATTATTGAATTGAATCAACATTTTATGCCTTTTAAAATAACTTTTACAAAATATATTCATAGATGCATGCCAACGGCTTTCCATAATTGTTAAGTCTAACTTAGAGATAAGTTCAACCTAGGATCTTTGTGAAACACCCCCAAGTTGATTTCTAATTTATGGATGTCTCATCTGTGAATGAGTAAAGTAACTAGATTACAACAACTTTCTAAATAATCTATGTGTTTTTCAATAATTAAATTTGTATGCCTCTGCTCATCGAAGGTAGTGCTGGAGCCTGGAGGCATTATGTGTCAGGTTGTTCGTACGTCCATCTAATTCACTTTCTTGTTATTACGATATCTCAAGAACCACTTGAGATATGAACGTCAAAATTCATGATAGCTAGTATGTCCCTTATGCTACGGTCACAAAGGTTCGTACGAACGTTAATTTTGTATGAATCTCCCTGTTTTTCAATTGTCTTCCCGAATTTCCATTGTCTGAAAATTGTTTGTATGGCATTCGTAGCAGTTCGTAATGGCATTTGTGACCGAGGCTTAAGGAAGACAATCTGGGGCCCGTTTCATAAAACTTTTTATCTATAACAAAAGCTAAATTTCTATGACAAATTTGCTCTCAACCAATCACATGCCATGATTTCAGTAGCTTATAACAGTAGCTTGTAACTATTGATATCAAGTTTTATGAAACGGGGCCCTGATCAGGTTTGGGCGTAACTAGATCAAAGGTCAAGGGTCAAATTTCTGAAAAGACAGGTATTATCCTCATCACAATATCTCAAGAACCACTTGAACTTTTAACTTAGGGACAGTGAGTATCATCATAGGAAGATCATCTGATTAGATCTTGGAATAAGTGGATCAAAGGTCATACATGTCAACGTCAAAGGTCATACATGTCAATGGCTGAAATTACTTTAATATCTCAAGAACAACTAGGTATGACCTTTCAAAGATTATCACCACAGGAAGATTACCTAATTATATTTTAAGGTAAGTAGCACAAAGATCAAAGGTCATAGAGGATATTTTACATTAAAAGTATTAACCTTGTTATCATAATATGTCAAGACCTTTTGTACTAAATTTAGGGGGAGGCACAGAGATTGGCTATTATATATAGTGTTGAAATGTTCATACATTCCATGTTATCTATGCACATTTTTCCTCTATTTTCTTCCATGCTAAGCATATTTTAAGATGATATACTTGACATACTGGTAACATAAAAACTGATGTTGATTTAGATTGTTTTTACCATTTAAATGGTTATTTTTTAAAGTGCATACTAGCATACATTCTTATTCAGGAGTTTTGCTGGGTGGTAATTGGTATTTAAAATATTTAGGTAAAACTGTTTATGGGATACAAAATGTTACAGTAAATCTATATTTCTAATTTAAGCAGTATCTTTTATATTTCATGTTATGTAATTTATGAAAAGCGCACTGATATGCCTTAGGACAGGAATTGTGCTATATAATTGTTAAGTATTATTATTATTTTTAATTGCCAATAATGCTTTTGTATATTTGAACAAAGATATAAGTGGATTGTAAAAGAATGTGTATATATATAACTGTACTCTATGGCCGAATTCACAAAGGAGGTTTACATTTAACCCATGGTTTAAACCTTCATTTACATAACCCATGGTTTAAAAATTAGCACAAAATAAGTGTACCTTGCCTTGCGCTTGTCTTATATTGGACCTCTTGACTGTCTCACGCTTATTTTGCGCTAATTTTAGACCATGGGTTATGTAAATGAGAGTTTAAAACTCCTTTGTTTATTTGAGCCTATATGTTTGACAGTGTGATGTGTTGTTTGTATTATAGTGAAATATCCTTGCCAACGAGAGGTTTCAGAGAACTAGCTATTGGTGTGTGTGTGTGTTGTTGTTGTTTTCTTTATCAATGGAAGTAAATATTGTTTCTTATGTTCAAGCTCATATATGTACATACATACAGTCAAACCTTACTGCCAAAGGGACACACAAAAAGTATTTTTTGTAGACAGGTTCCTTTAGTTCATGTTTCAATGAGAAACCATTTTCAAGGGAAACACAAAATGTGGTCTGTGTAGACAGGTGGTCACTAAATCAGGTTTGACTGTATTTGGTAATTTCCAAAAAGTCATGGTGTCAATGTTTATGAACCTGTTTGACAAATGAGCAAGGCTAAATTTCAGATGAATGCACAGCCACTTTCACTTGTAAGAAAAATAAGAATGATTTGAAATAATCCAGACACTTATTTTTCACTAAATTTGCTGCAGGAGTGGATCGCACCTTTTCATCATGTCCTGCTCGCTTAATGTGTACATCATATACACCAACATGTCATGCATGTACATTGAATACGTCACATATTTAAGCATCTATGCAAATGTGAATTCAGAATGAGAGAGTTTGAGCTACATGTATCTGTTTTATATTTAAAAAAAATATATATATGCAAAGATTAACCTTTGACAGAAAGTTTGACAAAAATATTGGACAAAGGAGAGAGATTTGATAATTTCTTTTTAAGTTGAGATCACTAATGGTGTGTAAAATCTTCCATAATGTATATCATGTCATACAAAGAGAGCTCCCCCCCCCCCCCAAGTTTTTTGTTATGTGCAAAATTATTAAATCATTCTCTCTTTATTATATTATATCTAGTTTTTTCGAAGAGTCCAAACTTGATCATAGTAGCTAAAATATCGTAACATTATTTTCCTGCTTCATTTATGCAATTGAAATATCTCGATTGCAAATATAGATGTCTCTATGAAACAAGTGCCATTCCTCAGTCCTATGCAGAACGGGTTTATAATCACGTCATTTCCTTTTACAAATTTGAATATTTGGTTTAGTGTACCAGTATACATTGTGATTCGAGGTTCCATTACATGTGTGTGCTGTGTTTTGATAAATAAACCATGACTTTTTAATCATGCAATGAGGATATGATTCGTGTCAAAATAGATTATAGTGCAGGTAAATGTATGATTGGTATTGGAGACTGATTAAAGACTTATGAACATAAAAAGAATATTAAGTGAGATTCCAGTCGAAGAGTTATTCAAATTCAAATTCAAATTCAAATTTATTCATGTTTCCAACAAAACATTACAAATCAATTATAAGCATTTAAAACAAATTTAAGAAATACATGTCTCCTCAGAGACCAATGACTGAATTACCATGAATAATGAGATAACAGATTCGCGATATGAAGATTTCTTTTCTTCTTGACATGTAGAAAAGAAGAAGGCAGACCTAGGAACATGTGATGCTAAAATAGTTCCTTGACGGGGTCTAGTTGAAAATGCTTTTGAAAGACGAGGTACGTCGTATAATTCACAATATACCTGATTTGCATGAAAATGAAATGAAAATATGGGCTATTTTGAAATCTTTGAACAATCATGCACCATATAATTTGCCAATCAAATGCCCCCCCCCCCCTCTGGAATCAACTGCCCCGGAACAGCACCCATAGACGCATGTAAGAGACACAAACAACATATTTATTTAACTGATTTTACACACCTTAATTCATACCTTGGAAAGCGCTGTGAAACCAATTGTGTGAGAGCGCGATATAAATGAACATATTATTAGCATTGTTAGAAAAGGGTAGGCGACAGAAAGAGAGAGATGGAGAAGAGAGAAAGAGAGCGAGAGAGAGAGAGAGAGAGAGAGAAACATAGAGAGTGGGGTATGAGAAAGAGAGAGATATATGTGTATATGTGGAGAGAGGAGGGTGACGGAGTCGGAACAAGTTCATAGATGCAGCTCGGGAAGAGACCTTAATTAACTGATACTTGATTCTCTTTTTTTTAAAATTTTGTTATTGAACTCATTAACACAAACTTATAGCTTAGAGTGAAAGCTGTCTTTAGAAACTGTTCTTCGGATAGGATATATGATCACCCATTTATCGCTTTAGATGAATCTATAACATAGAGTTCGATATTTCAAATGTTAATCAGATCTTCCGGTAAGCCCTTAAATCAAATATAACATGAACCGTGCCATACGCTCATACCTCAGTCACACCGAAGAGACCGAACACACACACATGAGACCGACCACACATATAAAGCCAACCACACACTGACAACACGTTATGAGACCGACCACACATATGAGACCGAACACACACATGAGACCGACCACACATATAAAGCCAACCACACACTGACAACACGTTATGAGACCGACCACACATATGAGACCGAACACACACATGAGACCGACCACACATATAAAGCCAACCACACATTGACCACACATTATGAGACCGACCACACATATGAGACCGAACACACACATGAGACCGAACACACACAAGAGACCGACCACACACATGAGACCGAACACACACATGAGACCGACCACACATATAAAGCCAACCACACACTGACCACACATTATGAGACCGACCACACATATGAGACCGACCACACACAGACCGACCACACACATGAGACCGACCACACATATGAGACCAACCACAAACATGAGACCAACCACACAAATGAGGCCAGCCACTCATATGAGACCGACCGCACAAATGAGGCCAGCCACTCATATGAGACCGACCACACAAATGAGACCGACCACACATATGAGACCAACCACACAAATGAGGCCGACCACAGATATGAGGCCGGCCACTCATATGAGACCACACATGACAAACATGACATCATCTATACCTGCGAGAGAGCATAGCAGCTAGCTAGGTGAGCTTAATTTGTGGTGGAAATTTGAGAAAAAGTTTCTCGTATTAGGAGCACATGTTATAGAGAAAAGAAAAGGGAGCACTTATTAGAAGGGAAAAGAGGCACTTCTAGCACATTAAAATGGGGCACCATTGGGCATTTATCAGAAGTGAGAAGGAACATTTATGAGAAGGGAAAGTGGCTCTTTCTAAAAAAGGAAAAGCGGTACGTGTAAAAAATAAATGGGGCAACAAGCGGAGATATGCTCATTGGAAGAGGAAGGGCATTATTAGAAAGGAAAGGGATTTGAATAGGTGCAGTTATATATCAGAGGTGAAGGGGGCACTTATCCGATGCGGTAAAGGGCACGTCATGTACCTGAAAAGGGGTACTCGATACATATGTAAAGGGTCAATTGTGGAAATAAAAAAATGACACCAGTATTATAAAATAAAATATGCACTTATAACAAAGGGAAAAGGGCACTGTGAAAATAAAGGGGACACTTCGCGGATTGGAATAGGGGCACTAATCAGCGATGAGAAGGGGTACTTAAAGTAGATGTTCATTGATTTTAAAAACTAACTTTTATTTCATTATTGCAAAGTTGAAACTTTGATTTGACAAGGTTATCAGAATTTAATGCCTGGAAACATTCGAAATAATGATTATTATAAATTACAAAACGCTTGAATACGTACAGCCCCGGCATAGCACCTGAAGAGCTCTCCGAACGCTGCTGAAATGTGTGAGATCACAGTATGGACATGATTTGCACAAGCAGACGATGTCCCATGACATCTCACAGATTTTCAGTGCCTGTGTTTTCATCTTCTCTTGAGTTCTTTCTCTTACTTCACTACCGTCAGGCTAAATGTAAAATATATTGCCTTCACTCTAATCCCCACGCATGGTTTTATTTTGATGACAAATGCAGCGATACAAAAATAAAGGAATCTGTCGCTTGTAAACAAAATAAGACGCCATTGTACATGTATATTCAGCTGCACACACCGCTGTATGTTCGGCGTTTCAAGAGGGAACGAATGCCGTCCTTAATATCATTCCGGTGGTTTTTCAATTTGAAAGTTTGGTTTCTTTGATTGTGAATTAATCCCTATCCTGTTTATTTACAACCAAAAAATTTAGTTATCAGAATTGGGTCATATCCCCTTTTGAAAGGTTTGACATGCCATTACATTTATATACACTAAACTCATTATGTTCTACACATTTTTACATATTAGCAGTGAAGGGATGTTCCTTTGTCTACCTGAGGAACTGTACATTTTGTCCGCTTTCTTTGTCCATCATATTCATAGTTCATGCGTACCCTAAATAACCGTACTGAGTGGGGGGGGGGGGGGTGAGTTGTTTCTTTCCACCGAATGCGCATGAACAGTTTTGTCAAAATGGCGAATTGCCTTGTCAAGTTGTTTCGGAAGACCAAGATGAGGAATATTGCTGCAAACTTATCCGATGTCTCCTCAGCTTTGTGAGCCTGATTACGGTATGGTCGTCCATGCCTTAATATCAATCCCATATTTCACATTCTTTTAAAGAGATTCTAGGGGGAGAATAATCATTTCTAAAAGAATTGTCTTTGGGTATTAGTAGCTTTCAGGAGTTGAGATTTTTTCGAAGATGAAAAGGACCATATTGCTGCAAATTTATGCAGTCTCCTTACCTTTTGGAGTCTCTCTTATTATTGTCTTTGAGTTTGTATAAATCCCATTTCACATACTTTCAAAAATATTAAAGGGGTAGGATAATCATTCTTAAAAGACTCTTGTCTGTGCGTGTTAACCTATACATGTAATGCAGTTAAAAATTTATTCGAATGTCAAATGCACCCATATTGCTGCAAATTTACGCGAGGTACCCTCAGAAATAATTATTAGAGGAGTTATACTTATAGCCAAGAAACTTTTTGAAGGCGGTTACTTTTTGAGCTCTTCTCTTATTCACTATGACACGTCACTGTTTTACTGTATAAAGAAATTGTACACCCTTTTGTTCTCTGCACCTTCACCTGCTGTCACAATTAACACAACACATCAGTCATCCCATCCCAGTATAGCTTGGAAAAGCTGCTTCAGGGATTACCTCATCAAAGTAATATAAGATCCACGCACAGCGAATGTTTTGCGAAAGCACGTTCCACTGACAGAAATGTGTCGTTGATCTAAGGTGTTTGGTTGTGCGGTGTGACTGAGGCAGTTGGGTCATGTAAGGAGTGGTTGACAAAGGAGAGAAGGGCAGGGCAAGAGAACGCATTCTTTGTGTTCCGCTCGAGTAAATCATCAAAGGTTTGGCAGTCAGAAAGCAACGTGTACAAACTCTTCTTAACGCAAATATAAGAGCCCTATACAAAAATGCATAGGTAAGACGCCTATTCGATTGTACACGTTGCAAAAAACTGTTCTCTCATTTCATATGCCATTCATATTAAATGTACGCTCCTGAAAGCGCGTTTTCAAATTGATTTTCTTATAGAGTGTCGCCTATATAATTATTTGTAAAGTGATAAGGAGCTGTTTATACTCGTCATGAGGGCGGATTACATTCTCTCAGCGATCCTAGTTCTATGTGGGATTGCTCACGGTAGAAACGTGGGTACAGAGTTGGAATGGGATCCTAAAGGATATGTACTATACTGTCCTTGTTCGGGTAAGTACATCTCTTATCTTTATATTTTATTTCTGCTTCGATAGCTGCTGTTCCGTGTTGTTGGTACTATCATTAGCATTTTGTCTAAAGTTCTAAATAAGAACACTTCCTTACAAAGCAGTATAATAGATTGACTATTGAGACAGGTCCTAGTATTTTTAGGATCGAATAATGCTGTATACATATTTATACAACATGTTGTATTATATACTGCAACAAAGCGTTGCATATATAATGATTCTTCAATAGGCAATGTTCGTAATGTCATAAATTATTTCATTCACCTGTAATCGTATTTCAATAGTCAAAAAGCAAACTGCATATACTTGTTGTTAGGTAGAACAAACATTATGGCTTGTCCAACCCAGCTAGCAAACAGTTGATGCATGCAATTTGGATTCTGACTATTGAAATACAATTATTCCTAACAGGTGAATGAAATAATTTGTGACCATCGAGGCACTTAATTAACAAAGATTTGTGCATCAAATTTGATATCAATACGAAAATGGCCTATTAATACTCACTGTTGGTACAGCTGAATTAAACTCAAACAGAGGGAATCGTGCTGCTGACATAATCGGAACGTATCCGAACGGGACGGAACGGAACGAAACGGAATGGAACGGAACTGGACGGCTCGCCCAGAAAACAATGCATCCCGTCCCACATGTAGGCCTATATATAGATAAGTTTGGGTACACATACTCCTACAATGCATGAGGTCTATTATATGTTGATGGAGTGATGACACCTCTATAAAATTTTTATTGATAAAAATATTGACAATAATATCGATAATAATAATGATGATAATAATAATTATAATTATACTAATACAAATTATAATTGTGCATGTACTGATAATATTGATAATAATAATAATAATTACAATACAAATAATATTAACAATAATAATAATAATAATGATAATCATCATAATAATTACATAATAATAATGATAAACATGTTCAACAAAAATAAGAAGAAAAATAATAATAATCATGTCTTGTGTATACCCAGTTATAGCCTCGACAGTATTAATGCCGCTCTTTCAATATTCAATTCAATTCAATTCAAATCAATTCAATTATTCAAAAGAAGAGAGGAAAAGAAAAGGACTGCAACATGGTTTGTTTGTTTTGTTTGTTTTATTTCCATTTTTTCATATCAATACAAAGAAACATTCAAATAAATATAATGAAATAACATGTAAGTTTGACAAAATTATTTCTAGTTAAAACAAAAGTTTCATACAAAAGGAAAAAGCAGGAGACCACATGTCGTATTAAAGCGTAAATGCTTGAACATGGCCGTGGCCTCTGCCGAGTTAACAAAATAAAAGAACAACCCATGCAACTACATATTGTATTCAATGTTAAATAGTAGCAATGTAGTGTATGGCATGCATAATGGCAAGATATAGGTGAAGAGTATAGTGTTGAAATATTTGACTGCATATATATATATATATATATACGTTACAAGTACACCTGGGTCGAGAGAGACATGCGGCCTAAACACTTTGCCCAATGATGTATAGGCACCGAGCTAGTATAGTATAGAATCCAGGGGGTGTTTCATAAAGCTGTTCGTAAAGTTACGCATTCATGACTTTACGAACGACTTGTATATGAAGTGCCACATCGGATGCTCAATCATTATTAAATACATCAACCAAAGTTGAACTGTGCAGATGTAGATTAACATTCTTATTATAACAAACATTTTTAATGCAAAGTATATTTTATGCCATAATTTAATTGAGGTTATTGAAAATATCAGAAAAAACTTTGGGCATCCTATCTGGCACTTCATATACAAGTCGTTCGTAAAGTCATGCATAACTTTACGAACAGCTTTATGAACCCCCCCCCCCCCCCAGGACCCCTATCTCAGGCATTACATGTCTACAAAATCATATTGTTAGGTTTGGATGAAGAATCTGATACTAAAGATAAAAACCACGTTATTGGGGGATATTCTATATTTCGTAACATTATTATGCTAATGTTTCTCTCACGCATCTCACTGCATGTGTCATTTATTGAACGCAAGAGAAAGTATTTATATTTCCAAGACTTTTCCCTGTATTTGACTTTGTATTTATCCCGATATAGGACAGTTCGCTGATGTGTCATTAATTGAACGCAAGAGATAGTATTCATATTTCTAAGACCTTTCCCTTTATTTATATTTATCCCGATACAGGACAGTTTGCTGGGCAAGTGGAACAGCTTTTGGGGACCTTATATTTCGCCAAAATGATCGATCGAGTCGTAATCCTCCCTCCCTTTATCAACTATCCATGTGGTCGTAAAACGCATGCGCATAATTACGGCGTACAAGTTTCGGCGGGAAGAAAAGAAGGAAATGTAAATAAAACGTCAATTAATTCTGTCCACGATATCTTTAATCTTAACCTGGTCTCATTAAGCATCTTTGTTTCATCCTAGTCCTTCTTCACTCTCTCTCTCTCTCTTTGCATATTCTCTCTCTGCCTTGTCCCTCCCTCTTTCCCTCCAAGTTCTCCTCTTATTGTTTAAGTATTATTGGCTGCAGTTCACAAGATGGACAGTGACGGTGTCGTTTGCCTTATGTAAACTTTTTCAAAGGGTTCGTCTTCTCTTTCGATACTTTCTCTTTCGATACTTTCTCTTTCGATACTTTCTCTTTAATTTCTCTATCTCTTATATATTTCTGTACAAATTTCAATTATATTAATGTCTTTTTCGTCTTTCCATGTTGGTTCTTTCTTCATTCCCCCTCCCTCTTTGTGTTTTCTATCACTACGTTTCTTTAAAATAGGGCCTAGTACATTTTTTTGTATTTCTCCATTATTTTCTCTTATCTTTCCTTACGTGTCTATGTTTTTAACACAACTTTTTTCTTCTTTTAAATGTTGTGATTTGTACCCCCCTCCCTTTCCCTTCTTTTTCTATTTCTGCTTCAATAATTCTTTGGATTGCCAGTCTTGTGGGCCATATCGGTCTCATGGGCTTTGTAAAACTTCGAGTGTGATTAGATGCTGGTCTACTCGGGATGCCCCTATCCAGATGAATGACTGTACTCGCCCTAAATACCGACTGTCATATTTATCTGATAAAAATGCAACTTGATATAAACTCTACAATCTCTGTCTGGCTTGCGTTGGTATAAGATGAAAGGTGGTAGCCAGAACGTCCATGCAAAGTGCTATTTCAGTTCATATGCTATCGATATGCTTGAGACCAGGGGTGGATCTAGGATTGTTCGTGGGCGAGGAGGGGGAGGGGGGGCGAAACTTTGTGCAACGGAGGACTCTCGAAGGGGAAATAAATAAACAAACAAGCAAATAAATAAATCAATGAATAAGTATTCCCAATTGCGGAAGCGGGACCGCTTCCCCCTTTTTTCCACATCATTTTCAACTTTAAAATCTCTGGTGCCTGGTGGCCCTTCCGACGAAACGTTCCTCATTGGTTACGTCATCCTCAAGAGATCTATACACTTGACACAACTCAAAATCTTACCCAAACTTGTCTTCTGATATATTACTTGACATTAAAGTGCAGGTTGATCTAAAGTTATCTGCATCATGCATTCAGGAATATCTTGGGTCACTCATTCTTACTTCAAATAGCGCCACTGAAATTGTTATCCTGCGTCCTATTTATTTTCATGGCAATAATACAAAAACCCACCTCAACCTAGTACAGCTCCGCGCTATGAGCATCTATCTGCCATAACAGTCACATAATATGGGGGTAATTTTCTCGTCTTTTTGACAGTAATGCTGTATTCTATTACTATCTTTACAGGGCGATTCAGTAATCAAGCCGAGCTGCTATTGGGGTCGTTATTTTTTGCGAAGACGCTTGATCGCGTCCTGGTATTACCGCCTTTCATCGACTACCAACATGCAGTCGGACAGAGAAAAGATAATGTAAGCCTTAATTAATCCTACATGACAAGCTAGAAATAAATAATTGAAATTCTAACTCTTTTGATATAATTGATATGGAAAATTAATGCTCAAACTCATAAAAACCCAATAATAATAATTATATTCGTACAGCCATAAGGACGGCCTTAACATAACAATATTGTCGTACTTTTATTTATTTATTGAAATATATTTATTCAAGATAACAAGAATCAGATATACATTGTAGATACAAAATCTGTTTTACATCATGGTCCTGAACAGGATAAAAATGAAGTACACGGAAATAAAATATACTTGGGAGGATTGATTCAAAATAATGTCCAACTATTATCATCCCACCTCTTAGGAGGACATTTAAGATTGATGTTTCCACATTTACTCACAACCACTGGACTGTTGTCGGTGTGACATTTCTTGATATTCCCATTTGGGGAGTTCATACAAACTATATCAGTGCTTCATTTTTTCCATTATTTTACAGCTTTACGTTCCAGTCACAGAGTACTTCGATTTAAATGCATTGCGGGAATATTACGCCGATATTGTCACATTTGAAGACTTCATGTACGAGTTAGCCCCGACACATTGGCCTTTAGATGAGAGAGTGGCGTATTGTTCGAGCAAAGCAGCTGAAGGAAATAACGACGTGTGCCCAAGGGTAAATCAAGAACATGACGGGGGTGATTATGATGATGATAGTGGCGTAGTGGTGGAGGTGGTGGTGGTGGAGTGGTGGTGGTGGTGGTGGTGGTGGTGGTGGTAGTTGATATGGGATAGTTTGCAGGCAAAATCCCTTGTCAGTCATAATTGGCAAGTCATAACAGGCGCGGATCCAGGATATCTAAGGGGGGGGGGGGGGTGGGTGCCCATTTTTTTTTTGCTCCTGAAAAATAAAAAAAGGGTAAAATTAACGTGTTTTTTACACGTTTTTTTTGCCAGGGGGGGGGGGGTAGGCCCCTCCTGGATCCGCCACTGAGTCATGAAGCATAATGGTGGTTTTATAAACAGTCAAGCACGTACGTGCGTTAATCATGATGCGTCAATTTGCCTGACGTATAGGACGACTACGTCATCGGCTGTTGCAGTCTTGGCATGACGTCATGCGTTTGATCGTGAGATGAAGTGCTCAGAATGCGTTGAATTGCAGGCTTGATTGACGCAGTTGTTGGCGCAGTCGTAATAGCGTGAGTCTTGTGCACACGAGGCGTGATCTGTCTGACGTATAACTGATGTAGCGATTGATGCTGTTTTTCACGCGACATGCGATAGTGTTAAAAAAATGTTTCAAAATCAACCTTGCAGACATTTCTTTAAATCACTAATAATCTAAGCAAACATGCTTATTGGTCAATTGGCCATTATTTCCTTTACTTGCTTGACTGGTGTGAGTAATGGTGCATCAATCGTGTGTTTAACGGTCATTGGACTATCCACTATAGCCTAAAGACGATTGACAGATGCTGTTCCTTATTTTACTATCTTGCGAACTTAGATTAAGGCTGCTAGGTTATTCAAGACATGTAGTAATGCTCTCTAAAAATGTTTAGTGACTTGAATTTCATTGACTCTAATGTTACTAGTTATGTCTACAATCTTTTGTTGTGATTCTTAATTTCCCTTTTCTATGATCTACATTCGTTCGATGTATGATTATGCAAATTTGTAGGCCTACTCCGCAGTACAGCTGAATTCTGAAAAGCTCGAAACAAATGTCCCTGTAATCATGGAGGCACGTGTCGGTCTACCTTTGATTACAATGCTTGAAATTCATACTCCTAATTGTTCGTCATATTTAGCAGTACATCCCTGTACAACACTCAATCACATAATCCATTCAATTAATTAAGGCGAACATTAAAGCGACTTTAACATATCAAATAAGATATAGTCATGCAAGAAAATGTAGTTTCGATTTATAATAACAGAGCTCATTCCATTAATGCAATATACTAATGATCAACTGTCAAATAGGATCATACGTTTAAGGCGTATACTTACATTGTGTTATTAAGTTGAAAGTTCATCCCAAATCTACATGAACCTTCTTTTTTGTTATATCTTGTATCGTTTTTAACAGAAAGGAAACCCATTTTCGACATTTTGGGAGGCACAGAATGTTGAGTTTACACGGTCTGAGATCTGGTCTGGAGATCTCCATTATAACGTGGAATATGAACCATGGCGGGTCATGTGGACAGAAACGTAAGAAACATACAACACAATCTTACCTATGTAACCAATTGATTTGTATTATTTTTGTTTGTTCAATGTTATGTTAAGATTTGTGGTTATATTGTCATATTGCATGTTATTGTAAGCGCTGTGATATAGTGTACTATGAATAGCGTAGCTAAATGCCTAATAATAATAATAATAATAATAATAATAATAATAATAATAATAATAATAATAATAATAATAATAATAATAATAATAATAATATTAATAATAATAATAATAATAATAATAATAATAATAATAATAATAATAATAATATGAATATGAATACAAACAAAACAGATATATATGCATGTATATATAGGACAAGCTATGAAACTAAAATCATTCATTCTACTCAATTCTAAAACGAATGTGTTTAGGGGTGATGGATGATGGCCGAAATGAAAAAAAAGCCGCTCCGATTATTTGAAGCTTCATAATTTATTTAAAATTAAAGATTCTTTTGAGGACTTTTAGGACACTTTATTTTTTAAAGTAAAGAGAGGTTTAAATGCAGGTAAGAATGGTCATTGTCAGAAAGAGAAAGGGGGCAATTATCAGAAGTGTTAATTGAAAAGGTACTCATCAGATTGAAAGGGGGCTCTTTTCAGAACTAAATTGAAGGGACGCTTTGGAATATTTTAGAGGGGTAAACTGTAACCCATACCCCCATGACGCCGCTTGTGTTTCAAAAGAGAATTAATGTTGAGGACAATGATACTATTTTTGACAGGTTTCCTCCCTCGGAACACCCCGTGTTGGCCTTTATGAATGCACCTACCAGTACACCGCTACCACTGGAGAAGAACTATCTTCATAAGTATTTCAAATGGTCCGCCGATATTGAGAATGAAGGTAACACGTACATCACAGACAACATCGAAAGACCATATGTGGGACTACATTTACGGAATGGCGCCGATTGGGTAAGGAGTGAATGTTTACTTACGGGCTGGGCCGGGGGGGGGGGGGTCACTCTCAACGTGACTGGCTACGCAACCGCGTCCAGAAAAAAGCGTCGAAAGGGTATTTTTTTTTCAGCTATACGGCATCGTCGACGTTTTCCTTGTAAATGGGTGTTTTTCAAACACTGATCGCCCCAACCCCTTAAAAAAGGGTACTTTCTCGGGCAAGTTCACAGCTTTCGACGTTTTATTGAAGTCATTCCTTATGTGACTGCATGTGCAAGAGTTGAGTAGTAATCCTCCGCATTAAGACTCTATTGGGGCGGCGTTGCAAGAAAGTTGGGATTGATTGCAAGTTGAAAAATTTGCAATCGATTGCAACTCAACTTTCTTGCAACACCCCACTAGTCTCCTAAATTTCCTAAGATTTGGTTAGGATTAAAGTTTAAACAATAAAATTCAGTGAACTTGACCTAGCGTTTACCCCCCCCCCCCACCCCTTCCCCCCCCCTCTCTCTCTCTCTCTCTCTCTCTCTCTCTCTTACAAATGGGGCGTTGCAAGAAAGTTGAGTTGCGATCAATTGCAAATTTGCAATTAATCGCAAGAATTTACGCTTGATTTGGGGGATTTGCAATCGATTGCAACTTTCTTGCATCGCCCCATAATGAGTGATGTAGGCTACCTTCAGTGTGGTATTGTTAGTCTGTAATTTATTATACACATGCCTGTGACGTATGTGGTAATGTTTCTTTGTTAACGCTAATAATCTTCTAGCCAAGTAGAACAAAGGGTTTATAATTATCTCATAATTGTTCTTCTCAAGCTTCTTTCTTCATTGAAATACTATTTTGCTCCTACCTATTTGCTCTTCCTTCATTTTCTTGTTCTATTCGTAATTATTATCACTTAGTTTTATATATTTCATTTACAAATTGCATGCTCTACTGCACTTCCATATTTGCTCTGGCTCGTAATGGTTAGAGCAAATAACACTGAGTTCCTATAGGAAATACATTTATTCAGATGGTCATATCTCAGCCAATACTTAACATATTGGTTCTCGACATTTGTTCATTATTATTTTTAATGCTATTTCGGAAAATGAAGACAAAATTGAGAAATTCCAAAAATAGAGTTTTTATGACGTCACACTTAATTCACCACTCTATACACGAATGGCCAATTTTTGTGCGCTCGGTTGTTATTCATTCACATAATTTATGGGGAAAAGTGTGGGGTGGGGGGTAAGGCGGTTTAATGCTTCATATCTGATCGAGCCGTTATTGAGCTGTTTCTTTGTTCGATTGTTAGTTTGTTTCCACAGATACATACGTGAGATCCTACCGAAATATTTGTTCCAAAAGGGAACCTACCTGTCTTGCCACCTTCAAAAGATCCCTCGAAACTCACCTTTTCCCCCAACGATCTATGTGATATACTTCCTGTACTGTTTATTTGTATTTGTAAGCGAATGGTACTTATTGTTTTTAGCGCTCCTCAGTATATTCATTATTTTTGCACGGCACCAACTTAATCCAAAGGCTGTTCTTCTGTAGGTTCTTCTGTAGCTCCTAACTATTCGATATTATTATTTTGTTTGTACAGGCTCGTACCTGTGATCTAGCTGATGGTACCATGCCTCGTCTGCTATCATCTCATCAGTGTCTTGGTGTTCATCCTACTAGTACTACCACTGTTCATAGGCAACTCTGCATGCAGTCAGAAGAACTCGTATCGGAAGAGGTAAGGCCACCCTGCACTCTCTGTTCTCTTTCGTTCTCTCTCTCTCTTTTTCTCTTTCCCTCTATCTATCTCGCTCTCTATCTCTTTCTCTCTATAACACTATCTCTCTTTCTCTCTAGCTATCTCGCTCTCTATCTCTCTCTCTCTCTTTCTCTCTTTCTCTCTATCTATCTCTCTCTCTCTATTACTATATCTCTTTCTCTCTATCTCTTTTCGTGCGTCATATGACGCGTTTTGACGCGTTTTGACAAACCTGGTGAATTCGGGCCAATATGTCTTTAAGCAAGGCATTCAAATAAGTCATTGAAGTTTGCTCAGCATAACAGTCATGATGGTGAGCGTCAGTGAAAATTAATGTTGCCTAGCTTGAAATCTTTCTAAGGAGTGTAGAATGTGCATACATTCTGTCGCAGCGGGCAATTAAGCCCGATCGAGTCCGATGACCGGGCTAATAATATTCTGTAACTGAGTGCTAAGATACTATGGTAGCATTTAATGATTATCTAGACAGTTTGATTCATGCTTTAAGCATTGATGTATATGTATATTGATCACCACATATATGTTTCTGAGTGAAACAGTGTGCAGTTGAAGTATCTTGTAACTATGTTCGTCATATACATGTGACACTGGCACAGCAAGAGATAAAACTTGATCCTTTTACTCACGAGTATCATGTTTGTGTTTGAAAACAATAGTGACTATAGTTGTTCTTTGTTTATGGACTTTAGATTTTGTTCGCTATTTGTTTCTCTTAATATTGTTGTTTGTTAATTGTATATTTGTTTATATGTCTGAACATGTATGTATACTTGTTTTTATGAACCACATGTGGAAATAAAACTTGAACTTGAACTTGAACATCATGATATAAACAGGTGAGGGCGCTCTTGGAAGAGAAAGAGACCAGGACAATCTTCATCGCGACTGATCACGTGTCTATGCAAGACGATTTACAGCGAGACTTCCCGGATGTAAGTCAGCCATTCTGTTTATTTCAGTTATTTATGTGCAGTGAAAATTATAGGGGTTATGGGCTCACCCCCCTAAAATAGAAACCTTCTAGTCCCTCCCCACAAAAAAAATCAAATCGGCAGGCACATTTAGAAAATGAAAGCAAGAACCCTAAAACCCCCAAACTGTGAGGGGACAATGTATACAGAAGGGAGTTAATATTTATAATCTCTTTTTTTTTGGGGGGGGGGGGTCTTTTTAAGTTTGATTAAGTGCTTCAACATGCCCACTCATTTTATTTTTATTTCATCCTAAGTGACGTTGTATTCTTTTCATAAATGTCATCATTGATGTAGACTATTTATGAAGTGCATTATCTTGTTTATTATTGTTCCAGCTGAATGTGGTGACGATGGATCCAGAGAGGCCTCAGCTTGATATGTATGTGTTGGGAGAAGCAGATCATTTCATTGGAAACTGCATCAGTGCCTTTACAGCGTTCGTACGAAGACATCGAGATGATGCTCAACTAGAAACACGATATTTTGGGATGCGACAAACTAAACAAAACGCGATCCATGACGAATTTTAGTCTTTCTTTAGTTTTGTAGTCTTGCTCACTACGTACGCACAATGGTAACCCTTTTCAGGACGGACTTTGTGAAATGGCTAAAGTGATCAGCTGTGCTTCTTCCAACTATTTTTAATGCTATGTTTTGTAATAAAATAGAAAGTAATGTATGTGAAAAGAATATACATTTCGCCAACTTAACCCTATCTAGCCTGGGCTTTTCTGAAACTACATAGCATGTACCCCTATGATCTTGAGCTCTTGGCCGTGAAACTGCTGTTCGCCGCGAAAATTTACACGCATGCCAAGTGAATTGTATAGATTTCTAAGGTAATTCATTTGTTTTTACAAGAAATTCGTCCATTTGCATATTTATGGTAATATGCAAATAAGGTAATACCATTCACATTTTTACTTATAATCATATTTTCTTCATACTTAAACAATAGTTTTCACTACATATTCTTTAAAAACCATTTGGGATAATAATACAAAAACAATTGGAAGAGCCAGGTTATTCCTTATGTTATCTATTGTTTTGATAATTTCTTATGTATTTCTATGTTTTTTAAACTTCTGTATTTTATTGTTATTTGTTGCTTTATTTCATTTCTTACTATAATTAAACTATTTTGAACCCCCAAATAAACACCTAAACTATAAACAAGACCAAATAACCAATGTTTTGTCTCTTTTGGGGGAAAAATTAGATTTCCATATGTTTTGTACACAAATCTGAATAAAATTACTCGAGGAAACAAGCAAGAGGACTCAAAGTGACTATTTCTTTCTTATTTCGGACGTTTTCCAGTCTCATGTTCACCTATATTTGGGCACAATTTTTTTTGTTTTCATGATGAAACTTATCATGATCAGAAACATAGTTGACTTTTTATAAACGAATGTTTCTCGACACATTCCTCAGCGAAACGTTTATCGACACCAACGACACTAGACAGTTATTTTGCCTGAGAGAGAGAGAGAGAGAGAAAGGGAGAGAGAGGGAGAGAGAGGGGGGAGAGAGAGAGAGAGAGAGAGAGAGAGAGAGAGGGGGGAGAGAGAGAGAGAGAGAGAGATGGAGAGAGATGGAGAGGGAGGGAGAGGGGGAGAGAAGGGGGGGGTGGTGGGAATCGGGAAGTGGGAGGAAGGTTGAACCAGCGATTATAACCGGCTTATATATAAGTGTTTTTATTTTCGTTTTGTTTTCCATTGCCGAATCACCGCATCATAATATTTTAACAGGAAAACTCCCCTCGCTTATATTAGAAATGTCTATTTCATTATCAATTATACCTCTGGTGTAGGCTTATATGAATAAAGGAAATATTCCGCTCTTTCAGATCTGTTGCCTCAATATCGTAACTACAGATTAGTAAATTAGCGGGAAAAATAAAGAAATAAAATGGCGAAAATCGCCAATTGACAATTTGGTCACTGGATAGTAACGTATTCATGGATAACTCCACCGTTTGTCGTGTACACAAATATATTAAATTTCTATTTTTCTTCTTTCTTGGGTCATGTCTTAAAATATATTGCGGGGAGCATATATTTTAAAAGGTTCTCTACAAAGAAATGTCAATTTGTCGATGTCAATTTTGCGAAATGGAAGTGACCCTCCTGGGTCAACCATTTTGAAAAATGGACATTTTTAGTCATTTTGTGCTTTTGAACAAATGGGAAAGTTCTCCGGCACTTGTACTGCTGAGTCCGCCAATTTGAAGTGTCTATACGTATAGTGATTTCAGCTTTTTATTTTTTAAAAACTTTTTCAGGGGCTCTCGCTGGCAATCTTCGATCTACAGTATGTATGCCTAGGCCTACAGTGCGGATTTTTGTTTTCGTTTTTGTTTTGTTAGGTCGCTTATTCTGAGATAGGATCAAAAGGAATTATGGTGGTCACGGTGTGAAAAGAAGGTGTTATGACCGTGCACCTCCCATCATCATGCCCCCCCCCCCCCCCGATCCAAATGATGGATAAAGATCTGCATGAACATAATCTGTGCTGTCAATAACATTATGAAAAATTATTTTCTTAGATTTTCAATTCAATTCAATTTTGGTTTCATTAGAAATATACCAAATAAAAAGTCCAAAGACTAACAATAATTGGTTCACATTGTATCATATAAAAATGCATTAAAAACAGTAAACTAAAAAATTCAGTAATAAGTTGAAATACGAAAAAATATCACGAACAAAAAAAATGATTGTAAAATTATAAAATAGTATATCAATATCAATGCTACAATATAAAGATATCGATTAAAATTGATATTTGAGATATTTAATAAGAAAGATAAGTTTACTATACAATTGAAGAAAATCATGGTGATAATCAAATTGTCAGTGAATTGAGAAGAAAGGAGATATATAGAGTGAAAAATAGAGGGGAGAGGGAAAGGATAAAGAGAGATCGAATTTGAAAGAGAGAGAGAGACAGAAGGAACAAAAAGGAAAACAAGACAAGAAAAAGATGAGGGATGAGAGAAAGAGAGAAAAAAGAAAATTGAGTTGATTCAGCTTAATGAAGCATTGTAAAAGTAAAATGCACATAATACGTAAGTGTCAAATGATTCATTAATACGAAAGCCATTATGGGAATTGTTATAAGGCTGTTTAACATTAGTGAATGGACTATAAATATTGGTGAAAATTATTAATGAGTAATTATCACATTGTCAGAAAATTGAGAAGAGGAAATACAAGACAGAAATAGAGAAATAGTGGGAGAGGGATGGAGGGAAAGGAGAAAGAGAGAGAAAAAGCTAGAGAAAGGGGGAAAGGGAAAAGAGACAGAGAGAGAGAGAGAGAGAGAGAGTGAGAGAGTTCGAAAAATGACAACACATTGTAAACAGGTCTAACACGATTTCAGTTGATTGAATTTAGCAAACGAACAAGAGAGGGAACTGTCGATTGTTTAGCGCTGATCGAGTTCTGCATCGTGGTGAAGGACAAATTATTGGAGTTTCTCAAGCTGCGGCAAGTAAGCACATGGCGCGGTTGTGACAAGAGATGGCGGTGCCTTGAGGAACCCAGAAGTGATTTCGGACATTTTAATAATAATAACAATAATAAACAAATATACCATGCACTGATAAGCTCTATATGTGTGGGGGGGGGGGGGGGGCTGCCCCCTACCCTAGACTGAGGCATTAATCCTCATTACTGTCAGTAATGACTTAAGGACGTAGATCCCCTAGTTGATAAGCACAGCTTACACATGCATTAGCAGTCACGCAAAACAAACACTCGCAAATTGTAATTATTCAATAAAATATGAGAATGTATACTATTATCTAGATCTATTAGGAATAAATCTTTGCCAAAATCATTCCTATTAAATTATACAGAGGTCGAATTTCACTCCAGTTTAATAGAACATTCACTTGGAAAATAATGAAAGGCTAAATTAGTAAAAAAAATTTTAAGGTAATACAAAGTTTCGGGAAATTATGAAAATTGGGTGGATAGTGATTCTTTACCATTTTGGTATATTTGGATGCCCCTGTGGATGTATTATAAGCACTAAAAATTTAAGCCCCTAAAACACTTCTACTTCCGAGAAAAATTGAATATTAAAATTTACCGGTGCTCCCGGTAAATGTTGATAATAGCGCCTACGGCTGTTCGATGGTAGCTATATACGACCGTGACATTCTCAGAATATGTAGTTGTGATATCTCATAATATTTTGTGATATATTTCAAATGGGAATAGCTATAATCGGTAGATTTTAGTCAATAAACATTGTTTTATAACTTAATTAATATCTTGACCTTGAGAGGGAACTATATAACATAAATAGTTTATTATTTATAATTTCATAACTTTAGACTCGATTTCAACCGCGACAACGATCACTGAATATAGTAGGATCGCATAGGCTTCCAATATCTTCATTTGAACCAAATTCATGACCCCATACCAAAACTTTGTAATACCTTTTTCTGCCACGACCGTCTAACACTGGTGCAGTAAGGGAGTGAGAGGGTTGCCTCCCACACATAAATGAATAAATGTATAAATGAGAACGCTCCATCTGTTGGTTATTTAATTTTTAGTTTGTATTACTACACAATTAAATTGCCACCTCACTGTCTGTTTAAGATAGCACTGTCCTTCATAATGAAAAGGCTTCTAATCGAAAGAGACTGATGCCCTTCCTGTCGAACTGCAAACGTCAATAATTTGACGGAACAAATTCATTGATCAGAATTTGATTTAACTGAACAATAGGGTAGACCGCTTTCCCACGACACAGAAGTGTCAAGTTTGTCTATACCGATGCATATTTTTTCATTATAAAGTTTCTATCCAACATAGTTAATGCTGATTAAAACAATTAAACTACAAATCCTTGAAATCAACTTTTTTTTTTACTACGTCCGCGGTTACATAAAATAAGATGGTTTTGAATTTTGCAGGAATTGAAGGTGAAAGAATATTTTAAAAGAGAGAAAGAATATCGAAGGCGAAACAGAAATCCAACATAGTTTCCTAAATACTTTTAGTTGCTGTCATCCCTTTTCTGGATTAATTGCGATTGTGGAAAAAGTGTCTCCACCGAGAATCGAACAAGGGTCGCTGGCTAACCACTGGACCAAGGAGACGGGCCAGAATATAACAGGAATAAATGATGTTGACACGATGTTGTTGATGATGATGATGATGGTAATGATGAAGATGGTGGTGATGATGATGATGATGATGGTGATGATGATGATGATGATGGTGATGATGATGATGATGATGGTGATGATGATGATGATGATGGTGATGATGATGATGATGGTGATGGTGATGATGATGATGGTGATGATGATGATGATGATGGTGATGATGATGGTGATGATGATGATGATGATGGTGATGATGATGATGATGATGGTGATGATGATGATGATGATGGTGATGATGATGATGATGATGATGGTGATGATGATGATGATGATGGTGATGATGATGATGATGATGATGGTGATGATGATGATGATGATGGTGATGATGATGATGATGATGGTGATGATGATGATGATGGTGGTGATGATGATGATGATGTCATGATGGTGATGATGATGATGATGAGGATGATGGTGATGATGATGATGGTGATGATGATGGTGATGATGATGATGATGATGGTAATGATGAAGATGGTGGTGATGATGATGATTATGATGATGGTAATGATGATGGTGATGGTGATGGTGATGGTGATGGTGATGGTGATGGTGACGATGATGTTGTTGATGATTGATGATGATGATGATGATGGTGATGATGATAATGATAATGATGATGAAGATGCTGTTGATGATGATGATGATGGTGATGATGGTGACGGTAGTGATGATAATGATAATGATAATTCACACCATTTATATGGCGATATGTTTCTGATTAAAGAACGTTCAAAGGCACAGGCCCCTCCAATGAAGGAAGTATTTTTCACACTTGCCGACATAGATATGTTTTGAGGTATTATTTGACATGT